GGGCTACCTCCCAAATTCTGGACCTCCGCCCTATCCACTGCTCATTACCTAATTAACAGACTCCCATCCAAGTCCATATCCAACAAGATACCGTACCAACTGCTGCACGGTCACCCGCCAATCTACACTCACTTGCGTGCTTTCGGATGCCTCTGCTACCCGTGGCTGAAACCGTACTCCACAGACAAACTATTACCACGATCTCACCCTTGCATTTTCACTGGATATTCTCCTCAACATAAGGGCTATCTTTGTCATGACACCGCCACTGGCCGCACATACATATCCCGTCACGTCACTTTCTATGAACAACATTATCCGTTCAAACTCCTGCCTACAATCACTCCCACTGCTTCCCATTTCAATCATTCTCGTATTCCTCCTCTTCTTCTCACTCCCTATACGGAGTCTCACACACACTCACCTCCCGCAACTAAACCCACTCCCAATACCACATCCAATCCAGGGACTCACTATTCCACGGATTCAATTTCTGTTATTCCCAATACCCCTCCCGCTTCGCCTAACCAATTCACGCATACGCTCATTACCAACACCATCGCCCCTACCCACCCGATGCAAACTCGCCTCAAGTCCGGGATCATCAAACCAAAACCCGTGTTCAACCTCTTTACCCAACTCGCACCAACTGATCTTCCCAGCAATTTCCGTCAAGCTCTACAATTTGATCACTGGCGGTCAGCAATGCAGGCTGAATTCGATGCCCTCCAACAACAATCAACCTGGACCCTCATCCCTCCTCCTTCCAACAAACCCATACTCGGATGCAAATGGACATACAAGATCAAGACTCTTCCCAACTGCCACATCGAATGCTACAAAGTCCGGCTTGTCGCTCTCGGGTATGATAAAAAATTTGGCGTCAACTACAACGAAACCTTCAGCCCAGTTGCGAAGATGCCCACCATCCGTCTGCTACTCATACTATCTTTTCACCGTAATTGGCCCGTCTACCAGCTCGATATTTCAAACGCCTTCCTTCACGGTGATTTGCCCGACGACATATACATGATACAACCTCCAGGTTTCACCAATCAGACACAACCTCAAGCGGTCTGCAAACTTCAAAAGTCCCTCTACGGACTCAAACAAGCTCCGCGACAATGGTTCCAAAAACTCACTGACTTCCTCCAACATCAAGGCTTCGGGTTCAGTCGCTCCAACCCCTCACTCCTCATCTATCACAAAAACAACATTCGTCTTTACATACTAATCTATGTTGATGATTTTTTGGTGACAGGGAATGACGAAGACGCCATCCGATCCCTTCTCAAACACCTACGCGCTCAGTTTGCTCTCAAACAACTCGAAAATATCTCCCTTTTCCTCGAAATTCAGGTGACTCGCTCTCCCACCGGTTTCTTTTTATCCCAAGAACACTATGCTACGAAATTACTCAACGATGCAGGTTACAAGGATTGCAAATCAGCCCCAACACCAATCACTCCTGACAAGAAGAAGAAAGAGCCCAACCTCCAACCATTCAAAGATCCGTCGCTCTACCGGCGTCTAGCCAGATCGTTACAATACCTATCCATCACGAGGCCAGACATTGCCTTTGCCACCAACTGCATCTGCCAACACATGCAGTCCCCCACTGAACACAACTTCAAAGCCTTGACCCGCCTACTCAGATACATCAAGGGGACTACCTCATTCGGACTGCCTATCACAACCGGGACACTAGAACTACGGGCCTTTTCAGACGCCGACTGGGCGTCAGATATCACTGATCGAAAGTCCGTCTCAGGCTTCTGCACATTCCTCGGGCCAAATCTCATCTCATGGACTGTCAAAAAGCAGGCAACTGTCGCAAAGTCCTCCACCGAAGCGGAGTACAGATCCCTCTCCGCAGCCGCCTCGGATGTGCTTTGGCTTCGCCGTCTCACGGCCGAGCTGGACATGCCTCAATCCTCCCCGACTACAATCTACTGTGACAACACCTCGGCAATGGCCATCGCCAAAAACCTAGTGTTTCACGGCAGAACGAAACATATCGAGATTGACTATCACTTTATTCGTCAGCAAATCAGCTCCGGCAACATTCAGCTGGCACACATCTCCTCCAAAGATCAGATTGCGGACATCCTCACCAAACCATTCTCGATCGCTCGATTCCATGAACTACGCAACAAGTTAACCACTCGGACACCGAACGCTTAACTTGAGGGAGGCTATTAGCATGTAACGGCCATATTGGTTTCTTTATGCTTTGTTATTACTTCATTACCCTGTAACCGGTCTATTAATAGATACCTCTGTTAACCTTTCTGATTAATGAAATACACTTTCTATTCTCATTTCTCTGTCTCGTTCTCCTACCTCTCTCCGTTTCCTTCCTGTTACACAGTTGACCCTCTTTTAAGATACGATTTGAGCCTCATTGAATGGTCTACGATCCTTGATCTCCTTTAAAAATTTTTAAATACATATCACATAAAAATTTCACCCTTTATATTAAAAGCTTTGGAGTTTGCTAGGGAAATCATGCATCCTTCCTTGCCCCAAGGAAGGTATTTATTGCTTCAAGGGAAAAAGAAATTTGAAAAGTGTTTTTTTTTTTTCAATAAAAAAATTAAAATGACATTTTTAAGAAAACTAAAAAAGGTTAAAAAATTTAGCAGAAGCATGTTTGGAGGTCTTGAATTTCAACAATTCTATAGTTAAATTGAATGTCTCAACGAGATAAACCTAATGACAAAAGAAGTGGCCTGATTCTGGCCCGATTGAGCATAGATCAAGCACTTGAAGTATAATTAAAAAAAAAAAAACTTAGCATACTACTTAGATGACCAAACAAAATCAAAATTTTATATGCTTCTAATCAATTCAAGCATCTTGACGATAACAAATCCAACAAGCCCCGACTCACTTAAATTAACATCATTAAGTCACTTAAATATTGAAGGAATAGTCTATAGTCAAAAGATTCAAAATATGCCATTCAATATATTGTTTCATATTATATCCATATTTATTAGGTTTGTCACTTTCAAAAATATATAAATAGTTCTCCACTCCCTACATAATGGGAGGGCTTGGAATGTGGATTGAGATTAAAGAGTATTTAGAGGCATAAAGATTCTTGAAGTTGCACCTAAGCACCACAATCAAACCACTACTGTTGTACCACTACCCAATTGCCACTTTCAAATCAACGTCATCTCCTCCGACCATCGTTGCTTAACTATGAAACTTTCGATCATTATCCTCCAATAGCAGTCCTCCAACAATGGTCTCTCAACACTCTGACCATCATTGCCTTGATTATGATAATTTGATCACCGTCTTCAATTTTGTTCTACTAACCATCATTACCTGACTATGGTTCTTTGACCACTGTTGCCTAACTAATGTCATCCGCCCATCATCACTTAATTTTGGTCATCCAATCACCATCGTCTAACTTTGATCATCCGAATACTGTTGCTTGAGTTTCAGTCCATAGATCACCATCGTTCGACTATAATCATCTAATTCAGATATAGTCATCCAACAAGCACTTATCCAACCACAATTATCTAGTCATCATTATCTAGCTATGATCCTCCAATCATTGTAGCCTCATTATAATCTTTCGACCAAACTATATTCAAATTTTATGTGCTTGTAGTCAATTCAACTAGAAAAATCTCACGAGCCCAATATCATTTAATTGTGAGGTCATTAAGAAATTCATATGTTAAATAAATAATCTATGATCAAAGTGATTAATATTAGCCGATCGAAAAGCTATAAATAATGCTTCATTTTTCACATGGCAAAGGTTTACCATTGACAGATCTCGCAATTAGCCAATTACTGTAGACAACCAATATTAACAATCCCTGCTACAATCAATTGAGTTTTTCCATTCGGTTATTGTTAGTTGACTATTAAATCCAACCTTATTATTGGACAGCTATTCGTTTGTTGACACTTGATTCTTTAATCATACAACAAAATAAGATAATTATTCTTAATTATTTATTCCCATTTTCTTTAATTGTAGAACAGAGCGAATTCTTATATTTATAAATATATAGAAAACTACTATAATGGAGAAAATAAAATTTATCTCTTTAGATTTTACACACAAATTTTAATGACTTTTAAAAACTTTATTGTTGTGCACATAAATTTTCCCTTGCATAATATATCTATATTAATACAAAATATTATACTGCATCATTTCTTGTAAAATAATTTTTACATGATGGATGGAGAGAGCCAGATAATGGAACAATTATTAGGTATGGACACCTGACGTATCTCTACATCCGGACGCCAATAACATATTGCCACGTGCTCTAACTCTTTACCGCACAGCCCGACGACCCGACCCAGACCGGAGCCCGGTATTGCTATGTTCGGGTATTGCTAGGTATTGCTTGGTATTGTTGGGTATTGCTAGGTATTGCTTGACAATAACGAGAAATACCGCTCTATCATGATCAATACCTAGCAATACCGAGCAATACTGAGCAATACCTAACAATACGGAGCAATACCTAACAAAACAGGGGTATTGCTCGGTATTTCTAGGTATTGGTCTTGACAGAATGATATTTCTCAATATTCCCGAGCAATATCAAGCAATACCTAGCAATATACCGGTCTGCACAAATCAGCCAATACATAGCAATCGATGACAAGTTTTAATCTACCGCTAATTATAAATACATACCCTAAAATATCTATGTATGTTTTCAAATTTAGTTCTAATATTTTCTTTCATGATTTTATGATAATTTTATTACACAATTTTTTTCTTCTTTTTTATTGCTTAATTTTTTTTAAACAACTTTTTTAATATATTTATATTATTTTTAATATTTAATTATTTTTGTATTGAATTTGTCCCTGAAAATTGAAGTTGATTCCGCCCCTACTAGTAGGGAAACGTAGCACTCCAGGTTAATAGTCTTAAATCAAATAAACTTCGCAGTTATTTGCGTAAATGAGTAAATAATAATAATAAGAATAAAACAAGCTGTGCCGAAGTAGAGCACAGAGGGTTGTCATGCATAGTGAAAAGTGAAAACGCAAGCAAGAGATCTTTCCATTGGACAGCGATCAATGGCGGAGGACATCTTCGATGGGCTTCCTCCTCCTTCTGCAACACATGATGCGACAGTGGAGCAAGAGCGGCGGCCTTCGAACTCCGTACGGCCTCCTCCTGCCCTTAAGAGCGCCCTTAAGAGGGACAAGCCCTTGGAATCTCTAGTTGAAGGTATTCTAGGGTTTCCCACGTTTTATACGTCTTATCACTGAATTGATTATTACCAGTCGACAGATCATTCATCTAGGGTTTTGTTTTCTTCAGTGTCAATTTGAGCCTAGGCATTTATTTGAGATTTTATGAGTAAAATTTGGGTAGAGTTTGGCAGCCCCTTAGCTTATTTATTGATTTAATCATATGATAGTCTCTTTGTATTGCTCTTTGAAGTTTATCTAGTATGTGTTTCCATAGTTAAGCCTAAGTAGTGCTTCCATCGGGTTGTGTCACGGGTGATTATTTTCACCGAAATCTATCCTTGTATATAAACTATTTACTAAATGATGAACTGCAATGTAGGAAAGGGAGAAAAACATTTTGGCTTGGTTTGCAAGAGAAGGGATATAATGAGAATTCATTGGTTAGCTAGATGCCGTGCAGTCTTGATGGATTGGATGGTTTCTGTGTGTTTGCGCTGTAGTAGCTGTGAATGATTGTCTTACGAGGAGTTGTTCAAGTGAAATTAACGATATTTAATTTCAACGCAGCCTGAAATATGAACTTATAGGTGCCACCAGCATCAGTACTTCAAAAATAGTTATTCAAATCCGTGAAACCCTAGAAGGAAGGCTTTTTCCATAATGGTTCTTGCAGGCTTGCAGCTTCTTCCATGGGGCCTTTAGGATCGCAGAGTGTCAATCTATCAAGAGTGCTGCCACTTATTCCATTATTGCCAGTTATGAAGGCAGCTATGGTTTGCTTAGCATAGAATGAAAGCTATTTATTTAAAATCAATAGATAAGATATCCAATTCACATGATCCATGCTTTAGGGTTTAGCACTTTGCACAACTAGTAACTGTCAGCTTATGATCTTATTTTTATTTTTTGGGAAGTATCAAGTTCTTATCTATGCTTTTGGGGGTTTAGCATGTTGTGCAACCAGTGATTGTCAACTTATGCCAATATTACCGAAATGTGCACATTTACTTATACTTGCATCACATGTTAACAATAATTTATCTGTGATGTATATGGTGTTGCATAATAGCAAAGTTTAATGCTATCCAATCTTGAACATCAAATATTTGTCAACTAAAAAAAAATCCAATTTATCTTATACTATGATCTCGTCTTACTAATTGACTGCCAAATCATTCTAACACCTAGCAGCTCATGTTACTGAATAGGTCTCAATTAGTTTGTCATTGATGTATGCATGTGCTTATTTATTAGTAAGACCAAAGTTAAAGAGGTTTTAAAGAAAATGAAGGGTAGAAAAGCTGTTGGACCTGATGATATTCCAATAGGGTGTGGAAATGCTTAGGAGATGAAGGGATTTTTTGGCTTACTAAGCTTTTTAATACTGTTTTGAAGACTAAAAAGATGGCAGATGAGTGGAGAATGAGTGTGTTAATTCCTTTTTTTAAGAATAAAGGTGATGCACAAAATTGTGTGAATTATAGAGGAATTTAATTAATGTGTCATACTTTAAAACTATGGGAGCAAGTTATGGAGCATAGGTTGTGGCGTGTTACTAATGTTTCTCAAAATCAATTTGGATTAATGCCGGGTAGGTCGACTATGGAAGCCATACATTTATTAAGATGTTTGATGGAGAAATATAGAGAAAATAAAGAGGATCTACATATGATATTTATTGATTTAGAAAAAGCATATGATAAAGTTACAAGAGAAGTGCTATGGAGAGTTCTTGAAAGGAAAGGAGTTAATACCACTTATATTCAAATAATTAAAGATATGTATGCAAGAGCTATTACTTGTGTTCAAACACAAGGTGGTTTGACCAAGTATTTCCCTATTTCAGTTGGGTTACATGAAGGATCAGCCTTAAGCCCATATCTTTTTGCTTTAGTCATGGATGTTCTAACTAGATCTTTGCAAGAGGATGTACCTTGGTGTATGCTTTTTGCTGATGATATTCTTCTTGTTGATAAGACTAGAGTGGGAGTTGAAGGTAAACTTGAATTATGGAGGTCAAACTTAGAGTCTAAAGGTTTTTTCTTGAGTAGATTTAAAACGGAATATATGGAGTGTAATTTTAGTAGGAATAGACCTCGTGAGGGGATTGTGGCTTTGGGCGATCAAGTCATTAATAAGAGTACATGTTTTAGATATCTTGGATTTATTGTTTAGAGTGATGGTGAAATAGATGGGGATATTATCAGCAGAATTCAAGTTGGATGGTTGAAGTGGAGGAATGCATCGGATTTTTGTGTGATAAAAAAGTACCCCTCAAACTTAAGGGAAAATTCTATAAGATGGTGGTGAGGCCTGCAATGCTTTATGGCGCCGAATGTTGGCATTAAAAGAGAAGAATAATACTAAGTTAAGTGTGGCAGAGATGAGGATGCTTAGGTGGATGAGTGGCTTTACCCTTAGAAATAGGATACGAAATGAGCAAATACGTGAAAAGGTTGGAGTAGCTCTAGTAGAAGATAAGATTAGAGAGAGTCACTGGTGCGAGCAAAAATTAGGAAAACCCCTAATTTTTGCAAGCAAAAAGAAAGACTTCCAAGGAAAGTAGAAAATACACAAAATACTCAAAAATACAACTAATTACAACTTATACGACAAACAACAAACTTTATAAACTTTTAAACAAAACATGACATTATAAACTTATGAAATAAAATTTTAAACTTGCATTTCATCACTTGAGAAGAAGGATATAAATGACGTCAAAATTGCAGAGAGAAGAAAGAAGTTAGAAGTCGAGACGAAGAGAGGACAAGCTCGCAAGCTTTCCTAGAGGGATGGGAAGCACGGAATAAGCTCGCAAACTTTTCCAAAGAATGAAGAAAAATCCTCAGGTTTTTAGATCCAAAAATATAATTATAACACACACCTTTTTTCATTACAAAACATCTAATATTTATAGGGGAAAAGGGGGCAGCCAAACAGCCACCATAACCTCATTTTAATCAATTAAAAACAAGGAAATAAAAGGCCAAAAGTTATTCCAAAACAACGCCCGAAAAGGTCACACAGAAACCAGAAAAAGCAGCCACAGGACAAGCAGCTAGGGGAGGAACCGAAGGGGGAAAGCAAAAATTAGAAAAACCCTAATTTTTGCAAGCAAAAAGAAAGACTTCCTAGGAACATAAAAAAATTACACTAAATACTCAAAAATAGACAAAATACGACAAAACACAACTTTTATAGGATAAAGACGACCATACAACAAAAGACGCTTACAAACTTATGAAATAAAAATAAAACGACACATATGACTTCCTAAAATTGCATTTCATACATCGCTTTGAGAAGAATAATACAAGTGGCGTCGAGCTTGCAGAGAGAAGAAGAAGATAAGAAGCCGAGGTGAAAGGAGGACAAGATCGCAAGCTTTCCTAGGAGAAGACGAAGAGAAGAGGCATAACTCGCAAGCTATCTTAAAAATCCTCAGGTTTTGATCCAAAAATTGTCATCGAAAGTCTCTTTTTTTTAAACTCTCTCAACATCACATATTTATAGGTGACAAAAGGCAGCCAAACAGTCCCCTTAGTCCTCCAATTAAATTAATCAGATAAGGGAAGATGGAAGGCCAAACATTCAATCCAGAAACAACACCCAATCAGCCACCTAAAAGGCAGCCCAGGGAACCGAAACAATAGCCAAAGGGAGTCAGAACAACACCCGAAAAGGCCACACAGAAACTGGGAAAAGCAGCCACGGGACAGGCAGCCAGGGGAGGAACCGAAGGGGCAGAGCAGCCAGGGGGGAACCGAAGGGTCAGCACAGAGAACGGAACCAACAACAAAGGGAACCAGAACAGGCAATCAAAGGGGGAGGAATTAGCCATGGGAAGGAGAGCTAGGTGGGGGAACCAAAGGGGTAGCAAATGGGGCTATGAACCTTAATTTATGAGCTGAAAACAGCAGCTCAACCATTAATGAGCTGATTTTAGTAGAAGATAAAGAAACTAACAAAATATACAACCCCCCCCCCTAGATGGTTTGGTCACATAAAATGGCGGCCTTCCGATGACCCGGTTAGGAAAGTAGAGGTTAATATTTGACTTATGTTAAGAAAGTTAGAGGCAGACCTAAAAAGACTTGGTTAGAAAAATATTAGAAATGATCTTTCTTTATTTGATTTAAATGAGAATTTGACTTTTAATAGGACACAATGGAGAAAAATGATTCATGTAGCCGGGGGTAGTGGGATAAAGGCTTGATGTTGTCGTTGTTGTTGTTTTACTTGTTTATTTTGTTAAAGTTCAGATTTACACCCATACCGATAAACTAGCATCAAATGTTTGTTATTGTAAACTAGCATCACATCTTATTGATTTCTCATCAATTTATAAATTTCATTCTCTATATTTTGTGTATTATTGCTTTTTGTACAAGTTAACAGTCTAACTAATATGCTTCAATGTACATACCGGCAAATGCTCATGTTTTCACATACTATCTCAGTATCTTATCAATTAGCAAAGAATTGCTTATGCATGAGTCTTACATGTGCTCGCTACCTGACAAACAAGTTCTCTTTCATGTCTATATGTACATTTTCAAATGCTGGCTAATGCTGGCTAATGCTAGCTAATGCATGCATGTTCACATAATGGCATATTCTTTTATTAATCAAGTAATATACTATTTCTTGTTGTTTTATTACATGTGTTTATACATGTTCACATGAGAACAAGTGCGGAAATGGCTACCTACAGCCATCACATGATATTATTCTGATTAAAGAATGATAGTAGTTGAGGGCATTTAAAACCTTACATCTTTATTTGTGCAAGTTAAGATGAAATGTTCGAATGATAGTTTACACTTAAGGACATATAATTGAAGTATTTAGTTATGCACTTTTTGGAAAAAGATATTTCTGAAGTAGTTAAGTTGGTACTTGAGGTTTTATTTGTAAATATACCATTTTATATATAGTTTATACATAAAGACTTAAGTTACATGCATAATAAGCGAAGCACATAGGTATTTAACATAAAGGAAGATTTCTTGATGACTTAACTATGTGCTTTATATTTTATCAGCAAATACATTATTTCATGAATAATTCATACATTGTAACTTAACATAGACATAATGCAAGTGATAAAACTCTAAAGTACTTAATTGCTTTGGATTTTGTTAGTACATACAGTATTTCATGAATAGTTCATACACAATGATTTAAATAAATACAATATTTAAGTGAATTAAGACTTTCAAATTCTAAAATATGATTCTCTTGTTTTTAGTTCTCTTATATCTTGACCACCTTTCCAAATCTTTAATATACTTTAGTCCTCAATCTTGCCCTTCCACAAAATCCTAACTCTTGTTGTCCACCTATTGTGACCAATCATCATGAACAACAACAATAACAACAACATCAAGCCTTCATCCCACTATATGGGGTTGGCTACATGAATCAGTTTTCTTCATTATGTTCTGTTAAGAGTCAAATTCTTATTTAAATCTAATAAAGAAATGTCATTTCTAATATTTTTTAACCAAGTCTTTTTAGGTCTACCTCTTTCTTTCTTAACATAAGTTAAATCTAATACATCTACTTTCCTAATTGGGTCATTAGAAGACCACCATTTTATGTGACCGAACCATCTAAGTCGACTCTCTCTAATCTTATCTTTCATTGGAGCTACTCCAACCTTTTCACGTATATGTTCATTTCATATCCTGTCTCTAAAAGCAAAGCTACTCATTCCCCTGAGCATCCTCATTTTTACAATACTTAACTTAATATAATGCTTCTCTTTTAACAGACAATCAAAATAAAAAAAAAAATCATAACTTCCTAGCTACACATCCAATTTACCTAAAATCATTATTATTAGCTAGCTAACATCCAAAATTTTTTATTTTGAGGTCCTCCTTTTTTTCCATCAAAGAAAACTTAGCCTTTTACTATTTAGCCAGAAAACTATGTAGAAATCCTAAACTAGCCTACATTTTTTCTTATTCTTCCACCACCCTAAATCTTTCACCTCCAGTCCAACAAACCTTGACACCTTTTAAACACTTAACCCTCCATTAGTTAACCCTGCAATCAATGCCACAATCATTGCCATAGAAGCCCAGCAAGCTCTTATCATTTTGGATCGAGCTACTGCTAGCTCTAAGCTGGAATTCCTTAAGAAATATTAGAATACATTGCTAACACACCTTATAAACTCTATATGTGTAGATCGCGTGCTATCGACCTTGTGAGAATGGAGGAGGTTTATGATATAAGCATAACAGTTACCGGGCAAGGCATCTGAATTTGACCAGATCACTATGGTAATCATGACAAGAGAAAATTATGCCATGTACTGTGTTAAGAAAAATGTCATGTATTGTGCAAAGAAAAAAATAGGATGGATGTATTTGAGATGTAATTTCAGATGTTTGTATTGCTAAAATTTGCAAAATCTTTTTGAAAAAACCTGGAACTAAAATCATACTCTCTAGGTTTGATTTCATTTGGAAATAGGCTGTGCAAATAGGATGTTGGTGAAGTTTGTGGTTTTTGCTGAAACCTGACCCATTATAATCCTGAATGATCACTTGCCTGCACTTTTTGACGAAGTCTTATGCATATGGTTTTCAGTGACATAAGAACCTGGTAACTGGAATATCTGAAAGATATCTTGTCATGCAAAACTTTCGGTTATGCTGACCAGACATAAATATGGAACATTTACGGTTTTCCTTGTGAACTTAACTAATGATACTAGCACCCCGGTGGTTATATTTTTTACAGATCAGCAGTAGGTTGTCTTGTCACAGGACAAAAAGCTATTTTTTATAATTCATATTAGTTTGATCTCCTAAACTTTTGTCCTTAAAAATCATTATTTGGCAGTGGCACCCCAAAAGCGCCTCAGATTTAAAACGACAGTTGATGCAACTGAAGCACAAGTAATTGAAGCAATGAAGAAAATCACATCACATATAAAAGTTCCTTCGAAGTTCAGCAAGGCTTCAAAGCTTGCTATACAGCTGATTCAGGCTGGTAGTGTAAAGCCAGAAAACAGTGATCACTTCTTTGCTTTGCTGAATGCTGCAATGTCCTCTCCTAGTGCTTGCAATGAACCTTCATTAAGAGCAGATTATCATGCCCTATTCTCTGCAGCTCAAGAGGTCACTCAGGTCATATTTCAGCCTTGTATTTTCAATTAGTTGTTTAGATAGAATTTGTTCATATTTAGTAGTTGGTATGAGGATGAACTGCTTGTTTCATGCATCATTTTATGGGGAGTAATGTTTTCATAATACGAGCAAGTTGTTAATTAAGTTGATTGTGGCGGTTGTTGCTGTTGGTTAAGGCTTATTATTGGAATTGTCGTTGTAGATCCTGATAAATCTGTATGATTGATTTTTGTTGCTTTCCAGGTTTATTTTAAATTCTCTTCTCTTAATACTTGATTTAATTTCATGCATCATTTCTTGAAAATAATAGTTTCACAATACTTCCAAGTTACTAGCTTTGCTTGATTGTGCTGGTTGGTTGTTTAGTGACGGGTTGTTGTGATAGGAATTGTGATGTAGCATAATCTACTTAATTTGTGTAATTGATTTGTTTCTCTCTGATTTTTGTTGCCTGTATCCTAGCTTGAGGCATGTATTTTTGGTAGTGATTCCTTTTTTTTTTTTTAATTTTTTTGTAGTGTTTCAGTAAACAACAGAAGAATCTTTTGGCAACCTGGATTATAAGGGCATTGGTGGCCAATGATCTTTATACTGATGACAGCTTTGTGGTAAGAGAAATGAAATCAATCAGTGAGTGCTCAAATAAATGAATAATGAATGGGTGTGCATGGCCTGGTCATTCTTTAATCGACATGGTAATATGTTTACTTGTGTCCTTGATTTTTTTGTTAATGTACTGTGTCTTTTATAAGGGTAGGTCTTGAGAAGTGGTTAATTTGCCTCTTTTTTATGATGCGGTCTTGGATTGAGTCTTGAAAATAGCCTATCTGTAAATGTAGGGGTAAGCCTACATATATTAACTCCTGCATAGATCCTATATTAATTGATGCTTCATGTATTAGGTATCAAGGGGTTGTTTGGTTGGGATTTTTCTTATTGCATCCATTTTGGAAATATAAAGTAATTTAAATGTATGCATTTTAGAAACGCATGAGTTGGTTGGTTGGATGTAAATCAAATTCATTATTTTTTTTTTTTTCAATTTTTTGTTATGATATATTTTAAATGCATTGAGATACAACAAACAATGGAGGGCAACTGTGGGGAGTGGCTAGTCAGGGGATGAGGCTGGCGGTTGGTGGTAGCAATAGACAGGCGATGGTGGATGGGAAAGGGGAGGTCATGGGCTGGAAGTTTTTCCTGTATTTAGAATTTACTCGAATTGTGCAAAATTGAGTGTATTCCATATTCTTCTAAAAATGGTCATTACGACTTATTTTAAATCCCCTACACTTTATATTTGATTTATTTCAAATAAAATATAAAATCATAAAAACTCTTGTAAAGTTACAACTAAACAAGCTTCTAAGTGTCTTCCATAGTAATGCAGTATCGATACTAGAAATTGATATTACCGCATTTGGGCTGTGTTAATGTTCACTTTCAGTTTTGGATTACCTTCCCATCATATATAAGTTTTAGGCATTTTATCTTTTTAGTTATGGATATGTGTTCGAACAGCATGCATGCACGAAAACAGCAAACTCTTCTATTCGTTCTGTTATACAAAACTATGCTGTAGAAGATACAAACTAAAATGTCTTTTGCCATGTTTAAAATAATCCACACTGTTTTGTCTCTTCAAGGCGAAATTTGATTGTCATGCACAAACTACTTGGAGTGTTGCTTTTGCCTGTGGCGAAGTCTGCTTTACTTATTGCTCCAACTTTTACCAATGCATAGTTTTTTTTAGTGCTACAGAAACTTGTGCTAACGTTCACTCAGTTTCTACTTACTTTATGTTGTTATCAAGGATAGTTTAGACATTAGACATTTGCTTTCATGTGTATTTAAATCAACTCTTGTTATAGTAATTAAATCAATCAAGTTTTCATCCAATACCGAGTCGTCTTCTTCCTTCAGCTCTTCTACGTTCGCGTCTCTGCTTCATGATGGTATCAGAGCTCATCGCCTAACGGCTTCTCCATCTTCTTCGAAATGGGTGACTCTACACCCATCTCCGCTGCCTCTACCCCTCAACCAACTCAACACGAGAGTTCAAGCAGCACCGACGTTCGCATTCCTCCCACCCTCAAATTCCTCCTCTCAAACATTAAGAACGTTATAAACGTTCAACTCCTCCCAGACAACTACCCAACTTGGAGATCAGCTATCCAAAAGCTGTATGCTGCCAACAGCTTCTCCGGCTACTTAGACGGAACTCAGCCATGTCCTTCTAAACATCTGTTTACTGTTGCCGGTCAGCTTATTTTGAATCCTCAAGGATCAGAAGACCAACCAAATGCTTCTCCGCGGTCCTTGCCATAACGGTCTCTACCCCATTCCCCTCAATCCAGCTCCTATCACTCATGTTGTTGCCACAGCTACCACAACCTCAACCGACGTCCGACAATCAATCCACTGCTACCATCTGGCACCAACGTTTGGGACACCCACATTTCAAAGTCCTTCAGACGCTACTCAAACAGCTTTCCCTTACTTCTACAGTTTCTTCCTCTAAGCTTTGTAATTCCTGTGAATTAGCTAAGAGTCACAGGCTTCCCTTCTCCCCCTCCAACCATGTATCTAGCTTTCCCTTACAATTGCTGCATTTAGATGTTTGGGGACCTTCCCCGGTGCTCTCATATGATGGTTACCGTTATTATCTTATCATAGTTGATGACTTCTCTAAATATTCTTGGTTGTTCTTACTTAAATGCAAGTCTCAAGTTCCTCTTCTATTAATAAAAATTATAAAATTTCTTGAAAAGCAACTAAACTATCCTGTACGTATCATCCTCTCTAACAATGGTGGTGAGTTCATGAACGCCACTCTTCAGACCTTCTTCGCTCAAATCGGTATAGCACACCAGTTAACCTGCCCTCATACTCCTCAACAAAACGGCATTGCCGAGCGAAAGCACCGTCACCTTGTCGATACAACCCGTACCCTGCTCATAGACGCTCATTTACCTTCTCATTTCTGGACTGAGGCAATTCACACAGCACTCTACCTTATCAACAGACTTCCCTCCTCCAACGATCCAAAAAAATCACCATACGAACTCCTATACAATCGCAGCCGAACTATCATCATTTAAAAACATTCGGCTGTCGTTGTTATCCTTGGCTTCATCCTTACACCCCACATAAACTATCTCCTCGTTCCATCCCCTGCCTGTTCTTCGGCTACAGCAATCAACAAAAATGTTACAAGTGTTATGATCCTAAAACAGGCAAAATCTACGTTTCTCGTCACGTTACCTTCCACAAACTATCTTCTACCGCCCATATGATTCCCAATCCTACAACCTCAACTACTTCCACTACTACAAACACACTTCCGTTTCCTCCTACTATTCCCATTCTTTCACCTAACAATTCAACTTCTTCTTCAGCTCATTCCACTGTTTCTCCACCAAACACAGATAGAACTGTTCCTCCTTCATCAATCTCCCCTTCCTCCTTGCCTCCAACTGCCTCTCATACTTCAACCAATCTCTCCACTTCCCCTCCACCACAATCACATCACCCAATGGTCACAAGATTTCAAACTGGTTCTCTCAAACCCTGCCAAATCCTTGATCTCCAACACTCTATAGATTCCACACTCACTCCTACCTCATATACGACTGCCTCCAGATCTATTCACTGGCAAAACGCCATGTCAGCCGAATTTAATGCTCTCCAAGCTCAATCAACCTGGTCTCTTGTCCCTCCACCCTTTAATCAACAAATCATCGGTTGCAAATGGATCTTCAAAATCAAGCGGCTTGCCGATGGCTCCATAGCCCGTCACAAAGCTAGGCTTGTCGCACAGGGCTATAAACAAGAATACGGCATCGATTATCTAGAGACCTTCAGTTCCGTTGTTAAATTTCCTACAATTCGGCTGTTCCTTACTGTTTCTCTTCATCACAACTGGCCAATTCTTTAGCTCGACGTAGTCAATGCCTTCATGGAACAATTGATAAAACCATCTACATGGCTCAACCTCCTGGCTTCACCGACCCTCAATTCCCCAATCATGTGTGTCTCCTACAAAAAGCACTCTACGGTTTAAAATAATCCCCGCGTCTCTGGTTTGCCACCTTAACAAACTACCTCATCACCCAAAACTTTCACGTCAGCAGCGTTGATCCATCCTTCTTCATTCTTTCCAAACCCGATATTACTGTCTACCACCTCATCTATGTTGATGACATTATCATTACCGGAAATGACTCCTCGTTTATTTCCTCACTTCTCAAAAATCTCCACACAAAATTTCAAATACGAAATCTGGGTCCCCTTTCCCGCTTTCTTGGAATTGATTTCACACGCAACTCCACTGGTTTCTATCTCTCTCAAAAATCTTACATACAAGAACTTCTACTCACTGCCTCTATGACAAACTGCAAATCTCTAAGCACGCCTCTACCCACCAAGCTTCCCACAGACTCTTCTCTTCAATCCCCATTTACCCAACCAGCACTTTTTCGCCAGTTAGTAGGATGTCTACAATATCTATCCTCCATCCGGCCGGACATTGCATTCGCTGTGAACAAGCTCTGCCAATATATGCATACGCCTTTACTTCTTCACTTCCAACTACTCAAACGTGTACTTAGATACTTGGCAGGCACCGTTAATTATAGTCTGTTCATTCCCAAAACAGACTTTGCACTTACTGCCTTCTCCGACTCCGATTGGGCTGGTGACTGTGTCGATCGGAAGTCCACCACTGGTTATTGTATCTTCCTTGGAAAATTGTTACTTGCTTGGTCAGTTAAGAAACAGACTACCGTCGCCCGATCCTCAACTGAAGCAGAATACCGCTCCCTAGCAGCAGCCATTGCCGACCTAATCTGGATCCGACGTATCTGTAACGACTTCAACATTCAATTACAGACCACACCCGTTTTCTGTGACAACATTTCAGCTCTCTCCATTGCTCGTAATCCTATTTTCCATGCCAGAACCAAACATATCGAAATCGATCATCACTTCGTCAGGGACAGTATTCACTCCAAGCAAGTAGACGTGCAGCACATCGCCACGGACGATCAGATCGCCAATATCTTCACAAAGGCTCTACCTGTTTCCAAATACCAGTATCTCAGATCCAAGGTAATGATCGTTCCGCTCATCACCTTGAGGGGCAGTGTAAAACCGGAATCCTCTTCCACTACTCTCTGCAACAGCAACTAACCATGGCAGCTTTACACGCTCTGCGGCAGCCTCCATTTCCCTTTACTTTATGTTGTTATCAAGGATAGTTTAGACATTAGACATTTGCTTTCATGTGTATTTAAATCAACTCTTGCTACAGTAATTAAATCAATCAAGTTTTCATCCAATACCGAGTCGTCTTCTTCCTTCAGCTCTTCTACGATTCGCGTCTCTGCTTCATCATCATGCACAAACTACTTGGAGTGTTGCTTTTGCCTGTGGCGACGTCTGCTTTACTTATTGCTCCAAGTTTTACCAATGCATAGTTTTTTTTAGTGCTACAGAAACTTGTGCTAACGTTCACTCAGTTTCTACTCTTCAAAGTTAAATATGGTTGTCATGCACAAAATATTAGGAGAATTGCTGTTGCATGTTTCCTTTTTTGTTACAAATTTGGCCAATTCGAAGATTTTATATTAATTGTTTCAAAAACTTGCATAAGTGTAGTACTCAAAGGCTGCTGGAAAGATAAAGGATGCCATATCTAATCTCCCTGCTGCCACTGTGGAGGATGATAGGGAGGAAGCAGAAATCCTGGAAAAACCTGAAAATGCCCAGGCTTCTTTGGTTAGTGATTCTGTAGATGCTATATCATCTTCTCCTTCAAAATCAGATAAGGAAGCTTTGGATCCGTTTGGATTGGATGCTCTGCTTCTACCTACAGGCAAGAAAAATGAAAAGCCCAAGGGAAAGGAGATTGCTGCCTTAAACAAGAAGTTAGAAGAAGAAGAACATAAGAGATTTATGAAGAAACAAAGAGAGGGTTTGCTTCTTTGTTTGGAGATAGCTGCGCGGCGTTATAAAATTCCATGGTAAAACTTTGGTTACTCCTTGCTGTCATCCAAGCTTGCATCTTTTTTATATATCAAAATAGTTTGTAAAACATTTTACTAGTGTGGGCTCCATTATCGCCTTTGCCAACCTATCCTCCAATTTCATTAACAGTTTCACCTCCGTAACCGTTGTTGCCAAGCAATTCTTTAGCTTGTGTCTAGCTTTTACAGTATAGCCCTTAACCCTGCTTTTCAGAAAGTAACTTTTATCATTTTCTTACACTTAACCTTACCGACTTGATTAATTCTTCCTGATGAGTACATATTATATTCTATTAATTTTCCCTTCTCAGGTGCCAAACTGTGATTGATATTCTTGCAAAGCATGCTTTTGACCACATTGACAGATTTACGTTGCGACAAAGAGAGGCAATCGAAAAGCTTTGGACCTCCATTAAAGAGCAGCAGATTAGAAGGAAGCAAGGAAAATCGGTTACTGGCAAGCTTGACATGAATGCTTTCGAGTGGCTGCAGGAGAAATACGCTCATGAGAAGATAAGTATACGACATTCCGTTGGAGGTGGGGGAGAACGACAGGCACAGCAGTGGCTTGGTTAATTTGTTTCTAATGAAAACAACATGTTACCAAAACAACAACAACAACAACAACAACAACAACAAGGTTGATTATATTAACTTTATTCTTGTAGTAGTTTCTACTTGTAATGCATTTTATAATCAGTCCAGCAAGGTTGTGTTTTATTAAACATGTAGTCTGTTATTTTGCTATTTGGTGTGTCCACATGTATCAACATTATCTAAAATTCCTGCAAACAAACAATGAGCATAATAGAGAAAATGAAAAGCAGGGATGAATCCAAATTCTGTATATTTTCTTCTATTTGTCTTCTATCTTTCATTTGCATATATATATTTTGGACTAACTTCCTCCTACTATAATTGTCTAGTGCGAAAGCAAAGTAATAAGTATTATTTAAACTAAAAGAGTAAAAGCCAATATAGATAGTGGTGACTAAAATAGAAAATGATAATGGGTGGTTAGAGTGGGTATGATAAGTCCGGCCTACATGATGCACCGCATCAAGTCTCCCCTGCCACAAAAGAGTCCACAGTTCTACTATGATTGTTGTCTAGATCATCCGGTGGGTGGTAGGCGTGGATATTGTCGACATTGAAGGTTGATGATGTGTTGATATATGGGAGGGTAATTAAACAATGTAAGCGTTGTCATTCATGCGCTGAACAATCGGAAGTGGACCAATTTTACGTGGATTGAGTTTGTAGTATTGTCCTGTCGGAAATCATTCTTTCTGAGCCACACCATAACAAGATCTCTCGGCCCAAACACTTACCTTCCTTTGTGTTGGTCAGCCTTAAATTGGTATTTGACATTTGAGTCTAGCTGCTTAGCCCGCCTTCTTGCAAAATGGAAGTATATTGATCGGTGAGATGGTTTGTTGTTGGATTAGCACCTTTTGGCAGAACGGCAATGTCCCAGATGTGATTTGGGGTCTTTGTGTAGACAATGTTAAAAGGACAACGACCCATTGAGCGATTAGTCATCGCATTGGATGCGAACTCGGCTTGCCCCAATGCTTCATCCCACTGCTTCGACCGACTTTGAACTAGGTAGCAAAGCATGTTAGCTAATGTGTGATTGACTACTTCAGTTTGCACATCCATTTGAGGATAGTAGGTAGAACTAAATTTAATCTCATTATTTAAGCGCCTTCACAATTCTCGAAAAAAATGTCTAATAAATTTCACATCTCGGCTGGAGGCAATGCTCCGAGGTAGCCCATGTAAGCAGACAATCTCCTTGAAAAACAAACAAGCAATATTTACAACATCAAAGGTCTTCTTACAAGCTATGAAGTGGGCCAATTTTGAGAACCTGCGCACCACTACTAAAATGGAATCTGCCCCTCGTGTAGTTCTCAGCAAGCCCAACACAAAATCTAAACTAATATCCTGCCAAATCGAACCAAGAACTACTAAAGGCGTGTACATCCTGGTGTTCTGACTTACAACCTTGAATCCCTGGCAAACTCAGCATTGTTGGACAAACTTCATGACATCCCATCGTAGGCGAGGCCAAACAAAATTGGACTGGAGCTATATGATGGTCTTTTCCTTGCCCACGTGTGTCGCCAACCCACCACCGTGTGCATCCTTGATCAGCTGCTGCCTCCAGGAGGACTCTAGGATGCATAACAGATTGCCTTTGAACAAAAAATCTTGCTTAATTAAGTAATCTTCCACTGGGCGTGCGGCTGAACATTGCGACTAAACTATAGAAAAATCTTTGTCGTTGGAATATAGCCCCTTCAAACATTCTAAACCAATGAGTTATGTTTGTAGTTGAGTCAACAGAGCGGATCGTCTGCTAAGTGCATTTCCTACCTAATTAAGCTTGCCGAATTTGTGCTTCAAAATAAATGTGAATTTTTGCAGGAGTAAAATCCAATGCGCATGTATTCGACTGATAGTTTTCTAGTTGTTTATAAATTAAAGGGCTTTGTGGTCGGTGCACAAAACAAAATCCTGATGCAGTAAATAATATTCCCAATGCTTCAAAGATCTCACGATGGTATATAATTCTTGCTCATACATAATCCACTTTTGTCGACTTGCACTTAACTTTTCACTGAAATATTCTATGTGCTTGTCACTTTGAGATAGAACATCACCAATGCCTAAGGTGGAGGCATCTGTATCCACCTGAAAGGGTTTATCAAAATCCAGTAGAGATAATACAGTGGCTGAAGTCAAAGTGGTCTTAATGCACTAAAACAACGTTGTTGTTCTGCTGTCCAAGCAAAATTCTTTTGTTTCAATCCTCCGGTGATGGGTGCCATAATGATGCTAAATTCGCGAATGAATCTGCGATAAAAGTTTATGCAAGTCTGTGGAAGCTGCGAATGTCAAAGAAGGATTTAGGGGTTGGCCATTCCACAATGGCAGTTACCTTGCGTGGATCCACCTCAACGTCGGCTGCTGAAACAATGAACCCCAAAAAGTATACAATATGCATAGCAAACTCACACTTGGCTACATTGATATATAACTTGTGTGCTCTTAAAGTTTTGAAAATTTCAGTCAAGTGTGACACATTTTTTCCCCAAACCCAAATACACCTAATCTCACCATCTTGTTGAATTGAAAACAAGAATATCATCAAGTAAACCACACAAAACTTGCCTAGGAATGGTCTCAGTACCTTACTCATGAGTTGCATGAAACTGGCGGGAGCATTGTATAGGCCGAACGACATTACCTTCCACTCCTATAATCCTTGGTGGGTTTTAAAAGCATTTGGTGGTAAGTGCTCGAGTCCTTGCTTGGTGAACACTTGCAATCCCTATAGCTTGTCCACAAGTTCATCTATTTGTAGTATATGAAAATAGTATTTCACAGTGATCTTTTTTATTGCTCAGCTATCAATAGACATCCTCCACTTCTCATCCTTCTCAAGAACCAACAATGCAGGGACGACGCAGGGGTTTATGCTTGGTTGTATAAGCTGTTTCTCTAACAATTCTTCAACCAATTCTTGCACACTTCGTGTTCCTTAGGACTCATTTTTTAATGAGAAAGGTTTGATATAACAGCTCCAGGTACAAACTCAATCTGATGTTGAATATTTCTCACAGAGGGGGGGGGGGGGGGTTTGCACGATAGCTTAGTTGGTAATATATCTTTAAAGTTGTGTAGTAATTCATGTATAAATTTAGGATGTGCGCCCTTTGGGGCCAAGTAAGAGTTAGTAACCACCAAGGCTATAATGTCATTGCCCCAATGGGTTGCGAAAATTAAGGCTGAGTCGGATGCTAAATGGAGTGATGTTTTGTCCTCTTTATTGATGCTTTTCTGCTCAGGATTAAAAGGTAGCAGTTGAATTTTCTTTCCCTTCCAATCAAAAGAGTAGGTGTTGTGTCGACAATCGTAACTAGCTCCAATATTGTACTGCCAAGGTAGGCCTAATATAATGTGTCCAACATCCATATCAATGTCACATAACACTTCGCATATATATTACTTGCCAATTGAGAATGTGATTTGACACATATCTGTGATTGTTATCTCCATCACCTTTTTAACGCAACTAATCTTGTAAGGGTTGGGATTTCTCTAAGTCTTTAACTACAAAGCCTGTACAAGGGATCGAGACACTATATTCTCAGTGCACCCATTGTAAATGAGGAGTTCATAGACTTTACCATTGACAATACATCTCGATTGAAATATAGCATTTTGTTGGGAGCTAATAGGTTGTCATGGAGCTATTAAGAGCCTTTCCAGCATGCATATGACAACATCTCTTGCATCAGCCCCCACATCCTCAGTTTATTCCTCCCCTCCTTTGCATGGAACTTCAGCATCTCCAAATTCTCCTTCCGCAAGCTGAATTGGGGGTCTCGACGGACATAGATTTATGTCCTGGCTGAAAACATCTAAAACATTTGAAATTGGATGGCTTCGAATATGGATTTTCTTTAGTGCCTGGATGGGGCTTAAATGGTGGCCGGCTTTCTACAGGAGAAATGTTGTTAGGTCCAGGCGAATGGGTGGGCTGTTGGGGTTTGAGTGTTGCTGGCACGCTGGCTACGAGATTGTCACAAGGACTGCATTTCTGCCTTTATAGCAAAGTTAACTACCTGAGACATGGGCCATACCGAGTTCAACTCTAGTTTGTCTTGCAAATTATCCTTCAACCCTCCAATGTAATGGGACTACTAATTAATTTCTGAATTCTTTAAGGTTGTTTCTGGCACTTAGTCAATAGGATTCCTCAGTATAATCTGTAACACTATAATTCCCTTGGACACTGTTGGTATTGCATATAAAGCATATGCTCGTAATTTGTAGGAAGGTAGTGACCCCGTAACCATTGCTTCATCTGAAACCAGCTGTAGACGCCTCCTTTTCCCTCTCTTTGTCGCATTTGTAACATCTTCTGCCACCAAGCACTGGCTCCCCCCTTCAATCGGCAAGCCACATATTTTACTTGCTCCTCTACGGGCATCTCCATGTACTAAAAAAAATGTCTCCATGGCCCTCTCCCAACCAGATAATCCTCAATATGTAGTTGTCCGTCAAAGAATGGATATTGAGTTTAACACGAAACTCTCCATTACCCCTGCTGTTCAAATCGCCTGTTGGTCGGTACTGGTAACGTGAAGCACGATCACCTTCATCAAAATTGAAGAAATCACAAGGTTGTTGCTGCTCTGCTTCATCGTCTGATTCAATAGATTTCAGAATATGGCCAGGTTGTTGTTGCCCTTGGCCCCGACCAATGATATTTTCGCGACTAGCCTGGACAGGCGCTAGTCCGCCTAGGCAAAAGATGGCGTTTCCTACTTGTCTATTGGCTTGCAGTTCTTGGCAGATCTCCATCCTGAACTGATAGAAATTATTGGAGAGCTCTTTCAGTAGTCTCGCCACCCGTATGTGCTCAGCCCAAAGGGCGTCAATACTCCAGTCTTTGTTGGGAGTTGCACAGAGATTTTCATCTGCTAATGGATGCCTTTGCAAGGAAGGGAAGCTCTGATACCAATTTGGTGTGTCCACCTATATCAATTATACCCAAAATTCCTACAAACAAATAATGAGCATAATAGAGAAAACAAAAACAGGGATGAATCCAAATTATGTATATTTTCTTCTATCTTTCTTCTATCTTCCATTTGCATATATATATTTTGGACTAACTTCCTCCTACTATATTTGTCTAGTGCAAGAGCAAAGTAATAAGCACTATTTTAACTAAAAGAGTAAAAGCAGATATAGATAGTGGTAACTAAAACTAAAAAAGATAATAGATAGCTAGAGTGGATATGATGAGCCCAGTCCACATGATGCACCGCATCACTATTTCTCATGGTTGTGCATTTTTCATCAAATTTGGATTACCGCATGCAATTATTAGGTTTTGTTTGGAACCATTTTTTATAATATTCTATAAAGCATTTTTTTATAAAAATTTTAAAAAAATTGACAACATATATTTCTAATAGTAAAAAAAAATTAAATTTATCGGAGAATATTATTGGTAGTTAACTAATCTTCAGTCATATATTATTATATTTTATATTATTACTAATATATAATTTTAAATTTTATAGAAAATTTTATATTATTACAGTATACCTAATGTTAGATAATTACTAATTTTAGAAAATTAGATGAACAATTTAATTTTGAAATTAAATATTGAGACATATATAATTGTACATATAATAATTATTATTTATTTCACATTATATATTATATAAAATTTAGTATATAATATAAATTTAAATAGTAGTTATATTATTAGAATAAATATCAACTCGTTTTTTTAATTCATACTATATTACTTATTTATATAAATAAATCCCATAAATCTAATGTGTAATATACAAAAATATATTTATGTAATAAATCAGAAGACGGGTTTGTTCGCGCCATTACTCTGGTGTTCCCGCCATTCCCAGCGCCTTCCGCCGTTCTTTCTAGCCGGAGATAATCTGTGAAGACATCTGGTTTTTCCGGCGGCATGGAGAATAAGAAGATGCCGTTGAACTCCCCGCTTCAGCGCAAGGTTTCGTTATCCAAGGTATCGGCGTCGGATGGGATCGCCACGCCGGAGAAGCCGGCGCAGCTGCCTCGGCGGGCCAGCAAACGGAGGCTATCATTCTCAGTTGGTGGTGAACGTAAAGTCGCCATGGGATTGCAGATGACCCGAAACAAATCTGCCAATCCATCGGATGTTCCCAGATCCGATGGCGAGCTGCAGCGCAAATCTCAGTCGTCTTCTGATTCAGCCGCCGCCAGAAAGACAACGAAGCTTTCAGAAAAGTAAGTTTTTGAGTTCTTGCTTGTTTTTTTTTTAAAGATAATCTAGAAGAATCTCACGGTCCAGCATATGCCAAGAAGATGGCCAAGAACGAGAAGACAGGAAGGAATTTAGAAAAGGAAATTGTATTTCATTATTACCTACTAGTTAGTACAGGAGCCAATAAATAGAGTTTGGGAAAAGCTGTAACATATTTGGCTAAATATAAAGATACACAGTAAACTTAATACATGTTTATTTATTGCTCTAATAAATCTGAATCATTACTTTTTTATTTTGTATAACTTTGCAAAGTTAAAACTCAAGTTGAATTTTTTTTTTTCAACGACTTTGTTTATGTTCCACTTATTATAGATATTTGCCTACTTCTGGCATGATGAATTGGTCGGATCAATACGGTGACAAAGCAATTCGATTTTCCATATTGTTCTTGTTTTATTATTTACCTATTAATTATGTTTTTTTTTTCTGGATTGTTAAAAAAAAAAATAGAAAACTACATTGGAAAGGATTTAAGGTTTCTGTTAGGTTTTTTTATGGGTATTCAAATGTTGGAGAAGAGTCTTAACATCGACGCTAACATATTTGGATTAGCATCACTGCATCCTTTTATTCTTAAAATTAGGTTCTATGATCAATCAGTTTATAAAGATCAAGGGCTATAAAATATTTGAATTCTCGTGCGGTGCTTTGTCACAGCCGAAAATTTTCATCATATTTTTGGTTTCATTGTTGCTTAATAAATTCTTCAAATATTTGGTCCTGAACTTGGTCTTATTTTATATGCAGTTATGAGATGTTGGCAGAGTTCTTCAATTGTTTGGACAGTTCAGTCCGATTACTTAGGCTGAAAGGATCGTTATCCACATTTACAAACATCAGTGCTAGCATACAACATTTAACAGAGAGGTACTTATTTCTGTCTACTTTGATATTTTTTTAATTTCTTTTTTTTTGTTAGCTAGGTTATAGGTATTAAATTGATTTGGATTAGCTTTGAAGTTAAGGGTTGCAAATTAATCTGCTTGTATCTGCATGTTATGGCTATTTCAGGAGATTTACTTATAGGCATTTGGCACAAATGAAACATATCTTACCTGAAGCAATTTCAATTAAAAAAGTGCTTTTGCATGATGAGGCCACTTGCTGCATGAAGCCAGAACTTCAAGTTTCTTTGCAAGTGGATGCAGTGGAAAGGAACTTGGAACTAAAAGGGGAGAGTCCATATTCAGCCTTAAGAATGGTTTTCAGAGATAGGCTTGTCCAATTTGCTAGAGAACATCCAGAGGTAGTGTTCTATGGATTTAATTGGTTTCCTTCCTTATTTTCTGGTGAACATCCAGTATCCAGAGGTAGCATTATTTTATGAGTTGCCATTTTTTTGATTATTTATTGATGAGGGCTTGTTTACCTCGTCTTCAGGAAGATGACATTCCAGAAGAAACACTCCCACATCCTTTTGGTCGTACAAACCCAAGCATGTCGACAGAATTCAATAGATCATTGTCTGTAGCCCATCCTGGTAAAAGACCTTTGGTTATTCATGACCAACATATTGAAGAGGATTCAATGATTAGTGCCCAAAACAACATTTCAAGTGAAGTAAAATCTTTAGAATCCACTCCAGTCAAGGACATTGCATCTTCTGCAAGGCTGATGATCACTACACCAAATCTTCAGACACCAAAAAGAAGTCGCATATCGTCAATTAATGATACTCAGAAGGCACTTGTGAAACAGGCAACTCGGACCAAATTATTTCCAACTCCAAGGAAGATTGTGCAGTCAGGCGGTGAAGATAACTTGTCTGAAAGTTCACCAGTAGAAGATGATGTGCTTGGTTTTCTTCCAGAGTCATTTCTACAAGATGTAAGTCGATTTAATCCTTTTAATAAATCAAAGAATTATCTTAGTATCAACAAAGTTTGTATGCAGTTTTGGTTCATTGACCTGAAATAACATTTTTTGTCTATAGATAAGGGACAAGGAGAAAAATGCTATGGAGGAAAGGCATGCAGATGTAGCTGGGGCAAGGTCACGAAAGAAGATAATTGAAAGTTTGCCTAAACTTTTTGATTTAGTACTCCTCATATTTCAGTCTGGGAACAGATTTGTAATTACAAAGCAAGAGCTTGTTCACAAGATTCTTTCATGTAACTGCAGTGTAATTGATAGAAGTAAGAATTATGTTAGAATGTCTTTTTGTTCTTTGAAAAAAGGCCCCTTAAACCTTAAGGTTTTATTGTTTTGTGTGTGTTTGTGTGTTTCAGACGAAGTTGAAGAACAATTGGAGTTAATGGAAGAATTGGTTCCAGACTGGATATTTCGAAAGGCAGCAGCTACAGGGGACATCCTCTACCGGTGCGTTTGTTAGATCCTTCTTTTTTCTGCTCCATGTAATGATTTGTAAATCTTAGATCAATATAATTGGGATTGGTTATTAACTTCATTGAACGCTTACACGGTTGGTTAAGTTAGAAAATATGATTTGAAACAAAATTGAAATTTGTTAGATCCATTATTTTGTTGGACTAGTTTAGAAATTAAGATGCATATGCAAGCAAACAACCAAATGAAGTCTGAAATGAGTTTCCAAAATATGGAATTTAACTGGATTTTTTACACCATAAATAAGTTTTCTAAGCTTTTGTACTATTATTTACAAGTTCAAAGCATAAGTGACATCTATGGCTATTCTAACTCATCGTGCTTATATTCAGGGTGAATAAAATGTCAAGCTCCCAGGAGATTCGGCAGAGGCTTGCATTATCCTAGTGAAAGAACGCCTAGTGACATTTTGCTGATTCAGAGTGCTTATCCAATGTTGAGGTCGCCTTTCTAGCTCTTAACTCTGCTTTACAGAAAGTAACTGTTATCCTTTTTTTACACTTTAACCTTACAGACTTGGATAATTCTAGCTTTCCTGATGAGTACATATTATATTCTATTAATTTTCTCTTCTCAGGTGTCAAACTGTGATCGATATTCTTGCAAAGCATGCTTTTGACCACATGGACAGATTTACGTTGCGACAAAGAGACGCAATTGAAAAGCTTTGGACCTCCATTAAAGAGCAGCAGATCAGAAGGAAGCAAGGAAAATCGGTTATTGGCAAGCTTGACATGAATGCTTTCGAGTGGCTGCAGCAGAAATACGCTCATGAAAAGATAAGCATACGACATTCCGTTGGAGGTGGGGGAGAACGACAGGCACAGCAGTGGCTTGGTTAATTTGCTTCTAATGAAAACAACAAATTACCAAAACAGCAACAACAACAAGGTTGATTTTATTAACTTTATTCTTGTAGTAGTTTCTACTGGTAATGCATTTTATAATCAGTCCAGCAAGGTTGTGTTTTAATTGATAGGGTTGTGTGCGCGTGTTTTTTTTTTTACATTTATACGTGTAGACTGTTATTTTGCTATTTCTCATGGTTGTGCGTTTTTCATCAAATTTGGATTACCACATGCAGTTATTAGTCATGGCCATCAATATGGATTGGATGGCTACGATTTTTATTTATTTATTTATTTATTTTGAACATTTAGGTCAACTATAATAAACTCACACACACATCATAATCTTTTGACCACCACAATTAAGGCAGGCAAGCACTACCATGGAACCTCAGCCATGGAACCTCATGCGCTCGGGCTGCCTCAGCACAAAGAGGTTCTCTAATGTCCTCCACCTCTACGAACTCTATTGAGTTGAGAACCAATCAGACAGCTACAGTTTAGTCTTGGCTATTCGGGCAAGCACAATATTCAGTCTGTTTGATCTGATTAGGTCTTTTCTTGGTGTTAGTAAAGAAAGATTTTTTCATTAGTTGAATTCATTACGTCTAACAGTGAAATTTAATCAATGCAGGGTGAACGCTATAAGAATAAACGTGAAGCTTGAAATTCCAAAATTAAATGCTAAAAGCCTTCTAACGTAGATGATTGCGTCAATGACTTTGGGCACGAGAAGACTATTTCCCACTATTGATGCTTCTAAATCAGTGGATTTACATTCTCTTTTCCCTCACTGCAACTCTCTTCGCCACCTTCAACAACTGCACGCCCAAATTCTCATTCATGGCATCCACCTCTCCAACTTGCTTGGCTCAAAGCTTGCCGACTCGTACTTTGCTTCTGGCCACTCCCATTATGCTAGGCAAGCGTTTGATCAAATGCCTAGTAAGAATCCCCAGTCGTGGAACACCATGCTCTCTGGGTACCTCAACACAAATACCTTCTCTGAGATCTTACCCCTCTACCAACTCTATCGTGCTGAGAACCAGAATACAAACAGCTACAGTTTGGTCTTCATTATCCGGGCTTGCACAAAGCTGTCTCTGAAGGAAGGGAAATCCATTCATTCAGAAGCCATTAAATTCGGTCTTGAAACAAATACGTACGTATCCCCTTCGCTTATCAATATGTACCACGAACTGGGTTCTTTGGAAGATGCTGAGAAGGTATTTAAGCAAGCCCCGCTGTTAAATCCAACCATTTGTGGTCTTATGATGAAAGGCTATTCAAAAGCTTCGATGGATCTTGAGGTTGTCGAATGCTTTGATAAGATGAAAGAGTTGCGTGTTCAATTAAATCCCTGCGCTGCAGTTTGTCTTGCTAGAGCTTTTGGAAATCTTGCTGCTGCTAAGCAAGGTCGTGCGATCCATGCCCTCTTCATCAAAAGTGCTTTAATGGCTTCTAATGTATATTTGCAGACCTCGCTTCTTGATATGTACATGAAAAGTGGCTTCATAGAATGTGCTCATAAGCTGTTCGGTGAATTGCCGTGTAAGGATATTGTATCATGGAGTACAATGGTTGCAAGGTTGGCTCAATGTGGGAGAGGTTATGAGTCTCTTCTAACATTCCAGGGAATGTTAGAAGAATCTATAATACCCAACGCAGTCACACTTTCTAGTGTCCTGCTAGCTTGCTCGCACTTGGGTTCCCTGCTGCAAGGTAAGAGCACTCATGGATATATCCTCAGGCATGGGATTGAGCTTGATATTGTAGCTTACACTGCTTTATTAGATATGTATGCTAAATGCGGATCCATTGACATGGCATACAAGGTGTTTGATCAAATGCAGCAGAGGAATATATTTACTTGGACCGCAATGATTGGAGGGTTTGGAATGCATGGTATGGTCTCGAGAGTGCTTGATCTATTCCATCAGATGAGGTTGGTGAATGAAATGCCGAATTCTGTTACATTTGTGTCACTTCTGTCTGCCTTAAGTCACTCAGGGAGTGTTCAAAAAGGGATTGAGTGCTTTAAATCAATGAACAGAGACTATGGCTTATCTGCAACAAATGAGCACTATTCATGTATGGTTGACCTCTTCGGCCGTGCAGGGCTTATTGAAGAAGCTGAGACATTAATCAAGAATATGCCCATTGAGCCTTCTGCTAGCGTTTGGGGGGCACTTTTGGGAGCTTGCAGGATCCATAAACACGGGGAACTGGCAGAGCAAGTGGCTAATAAGCTTTTTGCCTTGGATCACGACATGTCCGATACACATGTGTTACTCTCAAACATATATGGTGCATCGGAAACGTGGGAAATGGTGAAGAAGACAAGGGAAAAAATGAATGAGAGAGACTTGCAGAAAACCCTTGGTTTCAGCTCAATTGAAGTTGATAAAAAGGTTTACGTTTTTGGTGTTTGTGATACTTCAAAATCCTGGGATTCAAGAATTGCAGGGCTTTGGAATGTTCTTAGCATTCATATGAAAGAAATCAGTTTTATAGATTTTCAATCTAGGGAGAATGATGTGGATGAGGTGATTGAAGAGATCGTCTATGGTTGCACCCAGAAGTTTGCAATAACCTTTTGAGTTCTGAATACTGTATGTATCAGGATTTTTCTGCACTGTGCAGTTGTTGGAGAATATCAGTTTGAAGGATCAAATGAACGAATTTCTCTATGAATCTTTTGAGGTTGGAAATAAGAGGAGAATGACAAAGGTTAGGAGGATTAACGAGCAAGTGACGAGGCTGCGTAAGGCCTATTCATTAATGTTGCAAGAGAAGCAGGAGAAAAATAGACGAAGATCAGGCGATAAAGCTGCCTCAGAAGTACAGGACAGGAATTCATGAGAATTTGGTGATGGAGCTGCTCGAGGAGCAGGTGATGAGGTCTCATAAGAGACATGCCAGCAGGTTCGCATCGAATTTTGCTCAAGGAGGTCAATGACGTTGCCTGAGGAGTTACCAACTAGGCTGAACATGTACACGATGAAGCTGCATGAGTAATAGGTGATGAAGTTACATATTGGTTGAGCACAAGTATTTTTTTTCTTTGATGATTTTGGCTTTTGTTGAATCAAATTTTTTTGGGATAAGACCTTTTGGCCATGAGGTGGAATCCTATAGTTCTTCCTTTTAGAGTGATCTTGGAGCACTCATGTCAAAGCCTTTTTTCAGAATTTTTTTTGTTCTCGGTTCTCATCAGAATTTGATACAAAAATTTGTTGAGAACTCTGTATATTTTGAATTGCTATAATATTTTTTCCTCAATGAAAATTGATCATTTTTACTAGAAAAATTTTCCCTTATATCCGAGGTATAGCCATTTTTTTCTAGCTTCATCAAACTTAATCTTTGAGCTTGTCCAAGAAATGAAATTTTTGCCAAGAAAAAAAATTCAGCAACAGAAAATCTTTTGTACCAAATGTTAATGTTGCATGAACAGCTTATAGGGTTATTTTATTTGTAGTTTTTGTAACATTTTTTTTTTTGTGTCACCTACATGAACATAGTTCAAAGCTGGGGGTTTTAGAAAATGATATGAACTGGAGCTTAAGGAAAGATTTTGGTAGTTTAAGAAATTGCTAACTACTCGAGGAGGCAATGAAGGTGCTGCCAGATTAGGATTTGGGAGTGGAAGTGAGGTCATGCCATAAATGTTAACTGAGGTTTTCAAAGGGGTTTTTGTTAATCTCAAAAATATTTGATATATTTATGCATGATGCAAATAATAACTAACACAATTTAAGGGAGTTATAATGTGAGGGATTTGATAAGACAAGACATGTTGCCTATCCATATGGAGAAATTGGCATGACGCCAATGGCCTTTTTTGCTTCATGTGAGAGGAATTCCTTAGTGCCAATAATGCTAACAATATATAGTTTGTCTTAGCTGAGTGAATTTCACTTTGGATGAACAACTTAGGGTGCGTTTGGGGCGACGTTTTTCTTGCTTCACATTATGTAAAGTAACCAAAGAATTGTTTGGGGCGCCAAATTCATGCTCTATTGTAAAACTTTTTTGCGTCCCGTGGTTACTTTTCCCGCCCTAAGAATGCCTCATGTGGTCCGCTATTGGTCGTTGCTTTCCGTGGTTTCGAAGGGCATAAATGACGAAAATGCCCCACCTGCAATGTTTGCTATAGGCCAACGTCGACCTCCTCAAGCTCATCCATCTCGGACTCACCTTCTCCATGCTCGCGGCAGTCTCCCGACCTTTGCCTCTCTGGCCCGCTTCTGCATCGGGAAGTTCAACTTCCATGCGTTCCCCGCCACTCACGACGTCTACGCCTCCGACCTGCTCCAAGTCTTTCGACCTGACAGTTCCATCAATCCGCCGATTCCCAGCCCCGAGCTCTTCCACTCAATCGAATGAGCCCCGACCCCCTCGCCGATCAATCTTGATACTGAGTCTAGGCAGTGTGCAGGGCGTGCAGATGGAAGGCATGGACGACATAGTTATCTATTTGTTCGAGAGAGGAGGCAAGGGGCGGCTGGTGGCATTCATGTCTTCCATCTGGCTGATGGACAGCAGGGGTTGGGGTCCATTTTTTTTCTAAAAAAATAATCTATAGTTCCAGTCCTTCCTTAATCCTGATGTGCGTGAGAGCAGAAGAAAAGTGCTCTTCCATTATCATCTTCCTTCGACACTACCTGCAATTGGAGCTTGAGAGACAGAGAGAGCAGAAGCAACCTACGAAAGGGCCTTGTGCATGCGATTGAGGCCAAGATTGAGCACAGACAGGTATTGAAGAACTTAATCCTTATCAGAACTAATTCCTTATCATAATTATTACAAAAAGAAGCAAAGATTTGTAGGTGGAAGGCAATCCGATACCTGAAGCAATAAAAAAAATTATAAAAAAAAAAAATCTCTATTGCCTTTGTTGATTTGATGTGCTTTCCTAAAGGTGTAGGCTTTCTTCTTTCATCAAAGTTTTATTGCCACGAGCATGCTTTCTAAAAAAAATTTATGTCTGAAATCAAAATAATTCCTGAGTTTGTGGCCAAAGTTTATCTGTTTACAGACCATATACATCAATTTAATGGAATTGATTTTTACATATTTTCATATTTCTCTGTACACTAAATTTGGGCTTATTTGCAATGTAATTAGACCATTTCTTGATTCAAGTTATTTGTAATCAAACTAGTTTACTCTACCAAGAGTATAACTCATTATTGGCCTTTTGATGAATACATTTACATATAATTTTTTCAAGATTATTTTGAAGTATGATATTATATAGTATAAAAAAAAAAGAATACTTGCTCTGTTCTTTAGTTGACCTTAAGAAAGCTTGCTTGAAAGTTTTTTTTTTTTTGGAAAGCTGCTCAATGAGAACTTTTTTTTTCTTCTATGTTGAGCTTGCTCGTTGTAATGTGAAGTACTTTGTTACTTTGTTTGGCAGTTGAAGCCCTCATTCAAACTAATTTGTCAATTGAAATTCAACGAATAACTTGTTGTTTTCTTCTTGTCGTAATAATAGTTTCATCAACCAAATATGAGGCAGAAGATGTAACAAATTATGAGACACAAGATTGTGAAGTTGCTGAGTAGATGATATAACTACGGGAGCAAATTACATCTACATTGATCAATTTAAGCTGTTGAACTTGCAATTTAATACAGAAGTTGTTTTAGAATTATTCCCTATGTGAGTTCGGGCTGCTCATGAGAATAGGCTTTACAATAGCAGGTTTGGAACAGAGAAATGCATGATGTCTCTTGTTTTTTAAATTACTAGCAACAACCATGAATCATATAGATCCGCATATTGCTTCTTGTTATAATTTGAAGGTTCTAGAATTGGTAGTGTAATTTCATTTTCACAAATGAATTCATGAATTTTATCATGTTTATATTATGGCTGCTATGGTTTTGCTTGAAAACAATCTTTTAATTCAGTGATCAGGATTATTATGAAGTTGTAAGAGAAGTTGGAAGAAGTAAACATAGTGAAGTCTTTCAAGGCATTAGTGTTTGTAACATGGGTTGCTGCATCATTAAAATCCTCAAACCTGTCAAGAGAGAGAAGGTTTTGTATGTCTATTTGATGGAAAAATTGTCTTTTGAATTCTAGAAGTCATCCTGTTAATGTTATCTATTTTTGCCAAGGTAAATAAGTTTATCACTAGCTGGATACGTAGATTTCAGTAGGTGTCAATTTTTTACACGACCCAAAAAATCCGGGTTCGGGTCGACCTGTTTGTTAAACGGGTCGGGTTCGGGTTGACCTTGCAACCCGAAAATGACCCGAAAATCCTCTATTCGCGTCTGCTGCCCGCCATTCCCGATCGAACCCGAGTTCGCGTGTGCAGTTGGGTCCAGGTTGAAAAAGCCGGCCCGTTTATAAAAATGGGTTCGGGTTCGGGTCAATTCGGGTTCGACCCGAACCCAACCCGCTGACCCGTATTAACACCCCTAGATTCCACTATAGTGAAAATAGATGGTTTTAGAAATATGTTTAATGTGGTGGAAGTGACAACAAAATTCTCCGGCCATATTCCTGATTCCATTGGTGATCTTGAGCACCTCATTGTACTGTATGTGAATAGCTATTAGAAAATTTTCATGTTTATTTGGCTAGAGAGATTCAATTTTTCTTTATTTATAATTCAGTTTGTTGGGAAATCATTTGGTATGTGGAAAGTGGCCTGGATCTTCTTGTTCTGTAGATGGTCATGCATCAAGAAGTAAGCAAAAGTCAAGAAATTATCCTTCGCACCATTTTGCTAATGAACTTATACCTATCTTCTCCATTGGAACTCTATATGCAGTCAGCATCTCTCTCTGTCAGCAGTCGTTTGCATAACCTTAGGCTTCATCACATTGATATTGACGGTCTTGGTAGCAATCTAGAAGTCCAACAAACCATTAAATGGAAGATTGAAGGATCACAGCAAGAGTTAATCGGCGATTCATCACTTACAGAAACTGATGAAAGGGAGCATGAGAAATTAGTTCATCTCAGGAAGAAAGCAATGAGCAACATAGCTACAGCGCCCTTCATCCTGAAGAGAGTGAATGAAAGCCTTGCAAGGATCAACAAAATAGAAAGGAATAATATAAACATGCATTCTTCTTTCAAGAGGAGAAAGAAATAGTTTGCTTGGGTATGCCATGCGTTGTTTATGATGTTACTTGATTCTAATTAGTTTCTGTACAACAAGGAGCAAATCATAACGATGTTTAGAGAATTTTTTTTATTCTTTTTCTGGGATTAACAGTCCTTGCCCTGTGTTTTTTTTTTAAATAATTTTGTTGCTTTGTTATTGAATATTGACATTCATAACTTGCTATTAGATAGTTTAATGTTGTCCGAGCTTATTATAATTCAAGCTATATTAAAGCATATGAACATCAAATTGGAATGATAAAACAAGTTGAGTTTGTTCTATCCAAATAATTTGATGCCTCAAAGTAAAGTAAATTTAAGGAATCTAAAATACTGTACAGATTTTAAAAATAAAATTGATGCCCCATAATTATATCTTTAAGCATTTTGTTGATATAATTTTTAAAAAAATATAAATCAAAATATATTTGTATTATTATGAGAGAATGTTTTATTATAAAATAATATTAGAGAATCTAAAATTTTGACAAATTATTTTGAAGTATGATAATACAATGTCAATAAAAATTTATAGTATTTTTTATATATAAACTTATGAAATATTTGATAAAACAATTTTATTTTAATTCAAAATTATTAGTTTCTTAGCATAAAAATTTGAAAAAAAAAATTATATTTGAATGAAATTTATTCTTCTTCATTTATAAGTTTAGGGTTTAGGGTATAAATGTAATTTATTTCTATACAGTTGCAACACATCAACTTGATAATTATACTTTTCAAACAAAATGTACTGCTTTATGTACAGCAATTTCAAAATATTTGTTTGTATAATAATTTTATAACCTACTTTACCGACAGTGGCAGCTGTCCCAAATGCATCATTAATAGTACATATGTTATTGGAGAGATTATTCAGTGCGGACGTTGAATACAGTTCACCATCCGGAGACCAATCAGAATGTGCCACATCAGCGGTACCGAGCCAGGTACCGAGCAGGAGGTGATGTGACACATTCTGATTGGTCTATGAACGACGTTCGACGTCTCCACAGAATAATTTCTATTGAGATTTGAATCTCCAATTTCCTTAAGAGACAATACCAGAATACCTAAAGACTAATTGTATCCCTTAGAGTTGGTGTTGAGTCTAGCTTAAGCAAGCCACACTCAACTCAAAATAAAAACTCTTAATTTCAATTTGAAAACAAAATTTGAGTCGATTTGAAAATGTGCAATTTCAAATTGAGCTTCAAGTTGATTTGCTACTTCAAACTACAAAAAAAATAAAAATGTAATTATATTGTGTGTATATATATATATATATATATATATATATATATGTGTGTGTGTGTGTTTTAGAAGAATTAAGTTCGAGTTTTTAAGTCAAGGGGAATATATATTCATAATAAAGAAATATATCTTTTTAATAAATTAGGAGCATATTCACAACTTACTTAAACTTGGGTTTAATCATAAATAATCATTTTAACAAATGAATTTTGAATTTAATAAATTTATTTTGACATAAATATACTATATTTTTATTAATTGTTTGTATATTATATTTATTTTAAAATAAATTTAATAATTTAATATCAATTATGAGTTTTTTATATTATTATTTTCAATACTTTTCAGAGCTCTGCATTGGGTACCCATACCCACACCCGCCCATGTACCCACACATAAACAATGGTTATTTGGGTATGGAAACGCCCATGATCTTGTGGGTGGATATAGGTGGGTACTTAAAATCGGTGGATAAATCGATTTACATTACTAATCACCGTATATCTTATACTACTACAATCATCACTACGCAGTGTGCATCACTTAATTACTCTACGACTACGATAAATTCTTATATACGGCTAGAAAGTTTGCAATCATAGCAAAAAGCAACAAGCCTCAAGACCATCAGTCCGTGACAGACACTGTTTAAAAATCATGGAAAGTTGGTAGGTATAGGTGGGTACGACATCCCGAAAGTCACCATGGATAGGCATGGGTGGACAAAACCCGTCCAAATAAAGCATGAGTACCCAATGGATATTTTGACTCTATGTAGGGCTTTGATGCTTAGCCGACAGCTTAATGAGGCGTGACCTAACTATTTTTTATTTGGTGGGTAGGAACTTGGCCGACCGGATTGAAATGTAAGCTGGACCGTTGGATTTCATAAATCAACGGCACTACCGCGTCTAAAACTTTATAAGAAAACCCTAGCGAACAAAACCCTCCGCCTCTCTGCTTCAGGGAGGCTACTCTCCTCACACTCACTCTTAATAAGATTCTTCAGCACGTCGGCGTTCGAGAGGTTAAAAATCGAAAGTTGGGCTGTGGCGAAGCTCATCATACATTTGATTTGCGCATTCACCGACGCCGGTTGGTTTTTAATGAACCTTTTTTTCTTCTGCAATCTTTGGCCGATCCACAGCAGTTCTCTAAGCCTTGTTCTTTTGTCTTGTTTGTTTGCTTCTTTATTGGTTCTTAAACAATCGATTAGCGGGTAAAAGTATATTTGATCCTGACTCTCTCTGGAAGCCGCATGAAAGTCTTACTTTCCCATTGCACAAAAAATAACGATAAAGGTTTCGTTCAGGAGATTCATCAATATTGAAATATCAAGCATGATAAAGACACCTCAGAAAACAAAAATCCTAGCTTGATGTTTGCACGTTGTTATATTGATAAAAGAAGCCCATTTTATGGTGTATGTCTTTCATCTCAATCAGACAAACTCTCACAAACTTGATTTGCTCCTGCTTTTTTGTATCACAAAAATAGAAAGTAATCCCAAATAGCTTCTAATCCTTGTTGCTTTATGCTTGTTTTGGATACAGATTGTTCAATCCCCTATGCGGTCTTTCTGACTTGTGCATTTTCGTATCACATCTTTTGCGCTATTTGGGTTCATAATATTCTCTGGTCTGAGAACATATGATGATGTTTTGTTTCTAACTTTACTAATCTCTTAAATTGGAATTTGGAGAATTAAACTTGGTTTTATGAGGAATTTAGCACATATCCAAGGCATGCAGGAGATGCAATGCTAGCTATCTTTTGGAGCTAAAAAATTGCGCAAGGTTATAAATTGTCTCTATAAATGAAAAAGCACTTTTAGAAGACTTCATTTGTCGGAGGTCGACAGAGAAACTGAAACTCTAGAAAGAGGGACCTGTGATTACTATTGCTGTGATTACTATTGAGCCAATTGGTATTGGGCTTTTCTTTATTGATTCCTTTGGAAGTTTAACTTAGCATAAATGTTGCTTATGTTTGCCAGTTGCATTTAATCTTGATTTACTGTTTTTGTTAATCGAGGGAGTTATATTGTTTTTACTTTCTCATTTGCCTCCTGTATTCAAGGAAAATCTCGAGACGTTTGATTTCTCACTTATACTAATTGCTTAAATCGGTGATGGGAGAATAATCTCGGTTTCATAAGAAATTGAGCACATATCGAAGGCTTGCTAGAGATGTTATGCTAACCCTCTTGTTGAGCTCAAAAATTGTGCAAAATTTAAATCATCTCTACATTAAAAGGCCTTCTGCTAGATTCTATTTGTTGGAGGTCAATAAAGAAATGAAAATTCATTTTGTATGTGACATATTGAAGGCTTGCAAGAGATATTATGTTTAATCTCTTGCTGAACTAAAAAATTGTGCAAGATTATAAATTTTCTCTACATTAGAAGACCGTCTACCAAATTCCATTTGTTGGAAGTCAAGAAAGAAACATAATTTTTTGTTGAGTGATTGTGTGTGTGTGTGTGTGTGTGTGTGTGAAGAAAGAAAGGGGAATTTATTTGTGTTTTGTTTGTGTTAATGAGAGGGAGGTAGGAATTCATACCTGCCTCCTACCTCCATCTCTTCCTACCTCTCTCCATCTCTAGCTCTCATCCTCTTCTATCGAGATCTTCTGACATTAAGATAGTCATCTTCTGCAAAGTAAGCTCTATGGAGCTCATTTCTGTCCTTTTGTGAAAGCTATTACATATGCAACTAAGTGCTTTTCTTTATCATTTTCATACACCTTGCATGTAATTACTTGCTTTCCTTATCATTTTAGTTTTTTATATATCTGGTAAAATTTACTACTACTATCCTTTGTTAAAATGCTTCATATGATAACAGTAGCCTTTGTATGATATTGTTATGTTCCTATTATGCTATTTTAAGATGTACGCATTAAAATGATTGCTACTCTCATTAGGATAAGTGAATATCTGCTAGCTGCTAGCTTTGTGCCCATGTTCATGAAAGCAAGGGAGAAACAGGCAAATCATAAAATTTTCTATTACTTGTTTCTCATAAATTTAAATTATATTTTGCTAAAATATTGAAGTGGTATAAATCTTACCAGCCATTTTCCCACAGTTACAACCTAAATATTGGTTTTGCTTTCTCGTTTGCGTCCTGTATTCAAGGAAAATCTCGAGACGTTTGATTTCTCACTTCTACTAATTGCTTGAATCAGAGATGGGAGAATAATCTCGGTTTCATCAGAAATTGAGCACATATCGAAGGCTTGCAAGATATATTATACCAACCCTCCTGTTGAGCTCAAAATTTGTGCAAAATTTAAATCATCTCTACATCTAAACGCCTTCTTCTAGATTCTTTTTGTTGGAGGTCAAGAAAGAAATGAAAATTCATTTTGTATGTGAGAGAGCACATATTGAAGGCTTGCAAGAGATATTATGTTTAATCTCTTACTGAACTAAAAAATTGTGCAAGATTATAAATTTTCTCTACATTAGAAGACCATCTACCAAATTCCATTTGTTGGAGGTCAAGAAAAAAACATAATTTTTTGTTGAGTGATTGTGTGTGTGTGAAGAAAGAAAGGGGAATTTATTTGTGTTTTGTTTGTGTTAATGAGAGGGAGGTAGGAATTCCTACCTGACTCCTACCTCCATCTCTTCCTACCTCTCTCCATCTCTAGCTCTCTGATAGGAAATACTTGAGTTCGCAAGTAACCCTAAGGTAATACTTGAGTTCGCAAGCAATCTTAACCCAAATCGATATGCAAATAGCAGTGAAACGGCTGTTTGTAGCAGGAAAAACAGCAAAAACCTGCTGTCTACAGCAGGAAATCAGCACAAACCAGGGAAAACCGTGAGAAGAATCGATGCAAGACTTGTATTCCACTAGAAGATGCAACAAAATATAAAAGATACAATTGATCCTCAATTCGAGAGGAGGATCGATCTCTCCCAAATCTCTAGACGCCACTAGAGCCCAAAGAAACCTAAATCTAAGAGATATCAAATTTCTCCCTACATTCAAATTTCTCTCTTAACCCCCCCCCCCCCCAAAATCCTTCCTAAAAGGCTCTGTTTGAGCGGTCGGCCCGCCCGATCTCCGCAGGAGGCGGAGATTCCGCCTGTTCGTGAATTGCCGGTCCCGTGTGGACCGGCTGGACCGGTCTAACACTCTCATCCTCTTGTATCGAGATCTTCTGACATTAACATAGTCATCTGCTGCGAAGTAAGCGCTATGGAGCTCATTTCTATCTTTTTGTGAAAGCTATTACATATGCAATTAAGTTCCTTTCTTTATCATTTTCATACACCTTGCATGTAATTACGTGCTTTCCTTATCATTTTAATTTTTTATACACCTGGTAAAATTTACTACTACTATCCTTTGTTAAAATGCTTCATATGATAGATAACACTAGCCTTCGTATGATAATGTTATGTTCCTATTATGCTATTTTAAGATGTACGATTTAAGATGATTGCTACTCTCATTAGGATAAGTGAATTTCTGCTAGCTGCTAGCTTTGTGCTCATGTTCATGAAAGCAAGGGAGAAAAAGGCAGATAAAAAAATTTTCTATTACTTGTTTCACATAAATTTAAATTATATTTTGCTAAAATATTGAAGTGTTATAAATCTTACCAGTCATTTTCCCACACTTAGAACCTAAATAGCCACTTTCAAACAGCAAATTAGATCTCTTTTACCAAGAAATGAGAGTAATGCATTTCTTCTTTGGAAATTTTATTTGTGCTTGCCTCCTTTTTCACTTTCTACTTATAATTAACATGCATTGATTAAATATTTTTCTACGATGCAGAGATAAAGCTAAGAATTAACATGTCTTTAATTGTCACAGTATATGGCAAACCCCAAAGTTTTCTTCGACGTTCTAATAGGTAAGGCCAAAGCTGGTCGCATTGTGATGGAGCTGTTTGCCGATGTTGTCCCAAAGACAGCTGAGAATTTCCGATGCCTCTGCACTGGAGAGAAGGGAATTGGCCGTTCAGGGAAGCCCCTACATTACAAAGGATCCACCTTTCACCGAATCATCCCCAATTTCATGTGCCAAGGTGGGGACTTCACCAGAGGCAATGGAACCGGTGGTGAATCCATCTATGGACAAAAGTTTGATGATGAGAACTTCACGAAGAAGCACATTGGACCTGGTATTCTCTCGATGGCCAATGCTGGTCTAGGTACAAATGGCTCGCAGTTTTTCATCTGTACTGCTAAAACGCCATGGCTTGATGGAAAGCATGTGGTATTTGGCAAGGTTGTTGATGGATACTCTGTCGTCCAGGCAATGGAGAGGGAAGGATCACAATCTGGAAAGACTTCATCGCCAGTGTTGATTGAAGATTGCGGAGAAGTCATAGAGAATTAAGATGTGTTTAGTTTTAGTTTTGAAGGAAATGCTATTGAAGCTGATTTAAATCAGCGAGAGAATGTTATTGAGATATGCCCTTCTAACCTATCATTATGAGCCTTCTGTTTTTCTGTAATACAAACGATAGATAAAGGCTTTTTCTTTCAGTTCTTGAATTCTTCTCTACTTCATACGATTTTATAGGATTCATTTATGTGAAACAAGTAATACATTCACTTTGAAAGATGAGTTACAGATCACGAGTTAAATCTTCTCATAAGCAAAAGGAAAAAACAAAACAAAACATCAGAATATATCTGGAATGAAGCTTGCATGTTTCATGTGACCAAATAATTCAAACAATAAGAGAATTATTTCTTCAGATGAAGGGTGAGAAGTATCAGTTGCAGCAAACTCGTGAACCAACCCATCCATCTCAATCCAACTACAACCTGAACTCATTTTTTGAACTCCCATCTCTTTCATCTTCCCCCTTACAGCAGCAACTTCTGTCCATCTATTCTCTTTGGCATACATATCTACCAATAGCATATAACTGCTACTCTTACTCGGATCCAAAGCTGTAAGCCTTTCCATGGCGATCTGTCCAACTTCCATGTTTCCATGAATCTTGCACCCGCTTAACAGAGCTCCCCATATGACTGAGTTTGGAACAATTACCATCTTCTGTGTCAAATCAAGTGCCTCTTGTAGGAGGCCAGCGCGAGCCAGAAGATCAACCATGCAGCTGTAATGCTCCATCTCAGGTTCAATTGAATGAAACTCAACCATTCTATGAAACATTCTACGCCCTTCTTCCACGAGCCCAGAATGATTACAAGCACTGAGAATACTGACAAAGGTTACACCATTTGGCTTCTCTCGATTTTCTATCATCTTTGAGAGCATGTAAAATGCATCTTTGGGGCGTCCGTGCATTGCAAGCCCATCAATGGCCGAATTCCAGCAGAAGAGGTTCTTATTTTCCAGCTTGAAGAAAATGACCAAAGATTTCTCTAAGCTTCCGCATTTTGCATACATATCAATCAAAGCTGATCCCATATAAACATCTATAGCGAACCCACTTAGGACTGTCTGTCGATGCATTCTTCTGCCTATTTCAAGTGCTCCTAGATGAGCACAAGCAGATATCACAGTTGCCATTGTAACCTTGTCTGGGTTCATTCCTGCAGCTTTCATCGCATCGAATGTTTCCAATGCTTCCATGAATAACCTGTTTTGAGAATAACAGGAAATCATGGAAGTCCATGATATCAAATTCTTACAATGCATCTGATTGAAGAGAGACGTAGCAGACTCGACATCCCCCGACCTTGCGTATCCTGCAATCATAGCGTTCCATGACACTGTATTCCTCTCAGGCATTTCATCAAATATCTTACGCGCTGCATTTAAATCGCCAAAGAGGGTATATCCAACGATCATTGTGTTCCATGAGAAGGCATCTTTGACAATCATTTCATCAAACACTTTCCTTGAATCTTCTATTCTGTGCACGATACAGTAGAAATCAATCAACCCGGTCTGTAGAATTAAATGACAAACTAACCCATTCTTCCTAACCTGCCCATGAACTCCTTCACCAAATCCAATCGCTGGGATATGTGTGCAGGCCTTGATGAGGTGTGAGAAGGTATGACAAGTGGGTTGGTGTTTCAACTTGGGCATTTCTACAAACAGGTGGAGGGCATCAACTGCTGAAGAACAATTTATGAAACATCCAATCATTGCATTGTAGACAAAGATATTGGGTTCTGCTATTTGGGTGAATGCAAGGAAGGCATGGTCAATTTGATGGAGCCGGCTACATGCAGCTAGAAACTGGTTAATAATGAAGCAGTCATGGTGATAATTGTTCTTCAATATGGTTGCATGTAGAGATTTGAGGTCCTTAGATGAAGAACATTTCTGTAACAAAGAGGGAAGCAGATGCTTTAGGTAAGCTAGAGCATTACTTATAATCATATCAACGCAGGTAATGATATGCAGCATATGCTTTTCCCATATAACGATGAAACTATGATAATGAATAGTTTAATGAAAGAATATTTTGATTTCCCTTCATATTCTCTTTTTTCTTCTCTGTATTCTTCCTCTAATGCAACTGTTATAGGTTATTTAAAAGGTATCAAATATTCATAGCCCTACAGCAACACTCTGCTCTAGCAGGTCCTCAGCAGACTTTAGTTCTCTCAAGATGGGGAGCTATTATTCTGTGCGGACAAGGACGATTCTCCCTCCCGATTACACGTCCGGTATCAAGCGCGGGTACCGAGTTCGGTACATTTTTAGAGTGACGTGACACATTTTTATTGGCCTCGTGATGCTTCGGACTCCACAGAATAATAAATCCAAGATGGGAGATCTTGTCAACTCAAATTTCTGTCATCAAATATCAAAAACATCATCTTTCTCCAACTCAGTTTTATGAATCACCAAATAGAGAAATTATTCTTTGCAGAGGCCGGACAGCGAGAACTGTTCGAATTTGCTGCGCTTTAGCTACTCTTCTTCAAATACTCAACAAAAGGGCACAAATATGCATTCATAATTGCCCTTTTGCTGATTATTTGTAAAAGCGTAGCAAAATGACAGTTAAAGCACATTAAATATTCTATTAATTGAATATTTGCTGTCTTTTTACTGCATTTTTATAAATACTCAGTAAAAGGACAACAAAGGTGCAATTATTAATGCATATTTGCTAATATTTTGTTGAGTATTTGCAAAAGCGTAGCAAAATGACAACTATATGACATCAAATCCAAACGGTTCTTGCCATCCCCAAGGACTCAAAATCAAAATCTTTCGATTGAATTGATACTAACCTATCTCTATGGTACAAATCCACATCCAACCAAGCAGCTCATCAAGAAAATCTCCTTCGCCTTTTTGGATAAAAAGTCAAAAAATTTATAGCAAAATAGCAATACGATAGCAATTTGAAAAATAAAATTGTAAAAAAAATTACCTCAAATAAAATATAAGATTTGCACGAAGTAATCTCATATTTTCTTATCACTATCCATTCCTTGCTCTCACAACCCCATTAGATTTTGATTCATTTTCTGAGGTCTACAGCTTCAGAGATTATGAGTAAAGATTATTGCTTTTGTTGACAAAAAAAAAAAATTGTTATGTAAACAAGTACTGAATCTCTTGTTTATGTAATTTATGAGTGAAACATGCCTTATCAGGCTCAAATTGGAGAGAACATATTGTATAAAACATATTTAACTAGTCTTCTTTTTATTTTCAACAGCTTTTTAATACAATTTAAAAAAAAAAACAGCGAAAAAATAGAGATCAAAAGCTACCCAAACAAAACCTTATGCACTTCTGAGAATTTTTTTTTTTATTTCTTTCATCTATTTAAGATATTAAACCATAAGTGAAAAAAATAAATATGTTAATGTAACCTCCAAATTAATGAACAACTATCCCAATAACTATTAAAGATAACTAAGAAAAATCTATGAAAATTATGAATTTAATTTACAAAAAAGATACAACGGAATCAAATCTACAAGTTTGTCCTACAATCAGAAGCTGGAAGGCCTTTGAGTACATCCCTGAGAGCATAATAGTGATTTTCACATTTATGATCCGATATCAAATTACCAGAGAGCAATATTCTTCGAAAATGCTCTCCTGGATTCCTCCTCCACAGAGTATAAAATTCTTTGCCCTTCACATTAGGTATATTATCTGAGCTGCCTTCGTCACTCTCTCTTCTCAAGAAATATTGCGTCCCAGGCAGGAAAAGCTCCTCCAAAATCCTTTCGTTCTGCTTGCCAATGGCGCCATCAGCAACTTGTGTTTCTGGGCGAATCGGCTCTTTTCTCAGAGAAAAGTCTACAGACAAAACAAATTGCATCAGAAATGCAATACAGAAAAAAGTGCGACGTGCAATGCCTTTTGTTCAGGTGGTTCAAGGAATACCCTTGGAGAAGCATAATGAAAGAATTGTATAAAACGTTAAGCCTTTGTCCCACTACGTTAGGTTAGCTATATGAATCTTTTTTCTCCATTGTATTCTGTTAAAAGTCAAATTCTCGATTAAATCTAATGAAGAAAGATCATTTCTAATATTTTCTAACAAAGTCGTTTTATGTCTACCTCTACCTTTCTTAACATAAGTCAAATCTAATACCTCTACTTTCCTAACCGGGTCATGGGAAAGCCGCCGTTTTATGTGACCAAACCATCTAAGACGACTCGCTCTAATCTCATCTTCCACTGGAGCTACTCCAACCTTTCAACATCCTAAAATTTAGATGAATGCCAGAAAATATCTGAATTCCTTCAAGACACCTAGAACTGCCTGCAACTTAATATACATTTTGCTTGTAATATTCTTCTCTTGTGGCATTTAGTTTAGCTTTCTAAACTTGCTAATTTTAATTATTTTTTTTTTCCATGATGAAGGATTAAGGGACAGTGCAGGCCATAGTGGTGCTTAAAGGGACTTAAAAAAGATCTGTATGCAATGGAAAGAAGCTGTGAGAAAAACCGAGTTCCAAGTTGCCTGAGTTTTAAGCAATAGCTTGCCCAAAAATAATTTCCGAATAGCGAGTTTTGCATTGTAAAGAGGATGGAAAAACATACTTTTCTTGCACATGAATACAGAGAGAGTTAATAGAATTATATATATATATATATATATATATATATAATTTAACAAGCATACCATCGCATAAAAATAAAAATAAAAATGTTAATTAAAGATCTGGAGCATTCAAATCCAACATAAAAAATAAATATATAACTTTTGATGAACATAATCCCAAGCAATCTTCATGAACATATCTAGCTATAAAAATTCACTTCTAATATTTTAATATTGAGTTGTCTGACATTTAATATTTAATTATAAAAACTAATAAATTTTTATTTAGAACATGTACTCTCATTATGCCAATATTAATCTAAGATCATGATAATAAAAAACAATCATAATGGTTTCTCAAAATAAAGTATTTATCTTTAAGAAAACACTCAATTAGTTCTATTTATGATATATTCATATAATAACAGCTAGAAGCATTTTTAAACATGAAATACAGTGATATTTGTTATTAACCCCAAGATGTTACACATCTTCAGAACATGGACTAAGCAGCCATGCTCGAACAGAATTATGGCATCCATTGAGGAGATAAATATCACAATATGAAACGATGACCGAAAACTGACTTCATATAGATATCATTAACTAATCAATTTCAGATCACAAATAAAACAAAGTATGCAGGAGATGTCGATTGCTTACCAGAGGAATTTGATACTTTCCTAAACTTAGCTGCATAAGCTGCAAGTTTTCGAGCTACATCTTGGACGGAAGAAACAACATGTTTAGCATTAGTAACCAATTCTGCAATGCCTTTCCAGTCTTCCATCTCTAAAATAGTCATCCTGCAGCACAACAGATAACTCCAAATAGAAATTAAAAAAAAAAATCTAGAAAGTAAGTCGGAAAAGAATAGTAAAAATAAGTTACCAACATGTACAAATTAAATATCTTTAGTGCAATAAGCTCTGCAATGCCTTTCCAGTCTTCCATCTCTAAAATAGTCATCCTGCAGCACAACAGATAACTCCAAATAGAAATTAAAAAAAAATCTAGAAAGGAAGACGGAAAAGAATAATAAAAATAAGTTACCAACATGCACAAATTAAATATCTTTAGTGCAATAAGCTTAGTTCTGATACAGCAGCAAGAGCAGTGTTGACCCGTTTCTGTCCCAAAAAAAAAAAAAAAAAAAAAAAAAACTGTCCCAAAAAAAAAAAAAAAAAAAGAAATCAAATAAAAAAATATTTTTTTCTCTCACCTGCTCTCTGCCTTTCACACGTCGCACGTCGCGGACACGACCGCGACGCTCTCCCCGCATCGCTTGCGCATCCGCATCGTTAAATGGCTGAAGGGACGAGGCCTTCGGCCTCTTTCTCCCACCCGAGCTCTCTCACTCTCCCTCATTCCTTTCTCGACACCGCTCCAGCAACGACTTTCCCTCCCAGTTGGATCGGAAGTTACAAAGCTTTGATCGAAAGCAACGCGGGAGCTCACCAACTGTGAAGTCAACTTCTTCCCCTTTGTGCCGCTTCTACGACTCCTTTGACGGCTTTCCCTTGCGATCGGATCAAAGTTACGACATTCCGATCGGAAGCAAGCGTGGGAGCACGCTTGCAGTGAAGACAACTTTCTCCCTTTCGATTGCTACTTCGGCTCCTCCATGCCTGAACGACTTCGCTCCTTTGACTGCTACGCAAGGTATAATCTTCTAAATCTCATTTTCGACGTTTGTGCCGTATCAGAGAACCACCTATACACGCTCTTGTAGCACGGTAGGAGGGAGTCCGATGCGACACATATGGCGAAGTGGGTAAGCCCTATATACGCTCTTGTAGTGTGGTGGGGAGAGCCACTGGTGTTCTTGTACGGGTACTGCTGAAGGCCCCATACAAGCTCTTGTAGCGTTGTGGGATGAAAAGATGTACGGCCGCGATGTCTTAGGACACCTACCATACACGCTCGAGTAGCGTGGTGGAAAGGCCCAGCTCCATTATATTTCCCCCAAACGGGGGAAATGCCGGGATGCTGCCGAAATTTTCACTGAAATGTGCAAAGCTTGAGCAATATAAAAACTTCACTTGAGCAGCAATGCAGAGAACCCGGGCTCAGATGAACAATGACTCGAGGGCTTGAACCTGAACAAAACTCAAATGATTTCTAAAGGTCAAAATCAAATAAAATAAAATCAAATTGGAACCAAGCTCAAATCATTCGAATATGAACTGGAACTTGCAAAAGACTTCAGAAGACCTTGATCATGTACTTCGAATTTGAATTGTGCAATATTAAGTGAAACTTGAACAAAACTTTAGACCACAAGGATCTGTGAACTTGAGCACTTGGACTTGTGAACTCAATGAACTCAAGCCTAAATGAAACTTGAACTTGACACGAGCAATGAAGAACTCAAGCTTAACCAAACCAAACCAAGTGCAATGAGCATGAACCATATAGAATGGGAGTTTGATTTAATAAGTACTCGATCCATACAAACAAAGAACTTAGTGGACTCTCACAACAGTCTCTACGAAACCGGGTGCATCGTACCTGCAAGAATGAAATGCATTGGTGTCCCTCCTACATGCACTATTGAAACCTCCAATACTAGCAACAATGTCTGTTGATTGAAGAAGACAATGCTGTCAACCGATAGTGAAATATTCGCCCCCTACAAACAAGTACAATCAGCAAACCACCAGAGATTGGTGAAAAGTGGATATGATATTAATACAAATGGCTCCCCTACGAATACTTCCAGGAGGTCGTAGTGTATACAACAATTCCCTGCAAATGAGTACGAGCCACTTGTGGATAACAATAGTGGGCACTTCGTAAACACAACGAACCACTGTGGACACAAGTGTAGATATCACCTACGATAGCGGTGATTGAGATACAGCTAGTACGTCGTGTATAAAGGCAACCCGATGTACATAAGAGGACACCTCCTGGCAGAACAGAAAAGAAGTTTGAATAAATTAGAACTAAACTTCCTGGTGTTCCAAAGTTTCTTCTTGGTCCTATCCCTAGGAAGAAATTAAGCCTACTACATTGAAGATTCTAAAAGGAGTCCTTTCCAAAGCTGTGGTCATTGACTTCAAAGTCCAGAAGAACCTCCCCGGTGAATGAGATAAAAGGGAAGTCAACATTAAGATGAGGAGATGCATCATACCGCCACTGGATCCGCAACACTTGTATTAGAGGACATAAGGCGTGTATAAGCTCTTCAACGAAAAGTTGTATGCATTCAAATGATAATTACCAGCACAACTACAATCACTTCAAAATAACCATACATATGCACTGTAGTTTGTATACACATAGATACACTAAAGGGGTAAATACAATCGCAACCTGCATGAGCCTCGACGAGCGTGTTATTGGTACACACGTGACGTATAGGGATGCTGCGTGGGTCAATAAGTGAATTCAAGTTCGAACCCGATCCTCCTATGTGGATCAACCGATCAATAGATTTCGACAAGGTTCAAACATTCAAATAAATACACGATTGTAGCAATCGGTGTATTTGTTTTAATACATTCATATTAGGCCTTCAAGGCTTATGATCAAGAGGATTCACTAATATAGGCACAAAGCCTACGAAATTCGATCCTCCTAAGCAGCTAAATAGGAGTAGACAGGGTTCGAACTATGATACAAATATACGACTGTAGCAATCGATATATTTATTTTAATACATTCATATCAGGCCTTCAAGGTTTTCAACAAAGAAAATTCATAAACAAAGGCACAAAACCTACGAGAAACCCGATCCACGGTCAACAGCGTGGCCGAGTCGACAAGGTTCAATCAACAAATGGGAATGACCCCGAACACCCCGATGATAGCTGTACTGAACGAAAATCTCAACTGGAGGGATCAATCTCAAGCATTTTAAAATGCCCTCAAATATCCACAAAATTCAAATATTTCTCAAGTGACTTTAACATCACCCCGATGATGGCCATGTTGAACGAAGATCTCAACCGGAGCGGTCCCTTTCAAATGATTCAAAATGCCACTCAAAAGTACCCAAAATCCAAAATCCAAAAAAATCCAAAGATATTTAAAACTGAAATCTATCCGGCAAACCACTTAAAGCAAAATCCATCCACCCTCCGCAACAGTTTGCCGGGGTGGGCAAATTCGAATATAACTTTAGCTCACATAGAGCCAAATGCCTAGTCGAAAATATCACTATGATCCATTCTCAAACAATCTCCTGCTAATAAGGACGTGGTACGTGTCCTCTAACCTGCAGTTTTGCCGTCAAATGGCACCGCAGGTTAAACGGTTATGACCCAGTGCCCTCTGAACCGAGTTATTTTGCCGCCAAATGGTACCACGAAATACCGATTATGGCCAGAGCCGATACGCTCCTTAGCGGCATCAAATCCTTGAGATATGAATCAATACGATATGATCGATAGGGCACAAAGCCCTCTGTTAACTAATGTGGATTCAAATTTGTCCCCTTAGACAAACATTCATCCCAGGTCCACAAGGTACCCTTGGACGAAGCAACCCATGGCTACCGACAAAGATCCTTCTGTCAGGTTGGGTCGACTACCTCCTCTGACTAAGTAGACCAGGGACCATGATGGCCCGGGACGACGGAACCATGGGATCTTGATCTGGTCTATCATCCATTCCCCCATCATCAGCTTTAAGTGCACGATGGTGCAATTTTTATTTTAAATATTAATTTTTCTAAATTCCCAAACTCTTCAAATACATATGTCCATTGCTACTACTATATGCCAGATATCACGTATTTCATACGTATCTGATTGATGACTAGCCTTAATCGAAAGTTCTCTCTCGTGATCGAGAGGGGTAATTAAGTTAGGGGCTTGCACCTATAGCAAACCAGAACTCATATCATAAAGTCCTCACAAAATGAGGGCGAAATCTCTGGGTAGTGTCTTATCTACAAATCCATCTGCCTTCCAAAATTTACCCCAGAACTTACTCCATTAAAACTCCTTTGCCGAAGAAAAAGCAAAAAAAAAAACAGCAGTCGTGCGGCGGGGAGGCCGGGGCCAAATTTTCAGAGCCCACCGATCATATTTTATAAAATATGACTAAAATTTTTAAATTAAAACTAAAATTATTATTTATTTTTTTATCAAAAATATTATTAATATTTTTTTAAAAAAAAATTATAATTACTTAAAATTATATTTAATAAATATTTAATTAAAAATGACCAAAATACCCTTACATTTAATATTATTAACTCCAACATTCGATGTTAAAACAAAAAAAATCTCATTTTAAAGACATGAGGGATCAAATTGGACTTTCAAAACAGTTTGGGATAATTTTGGTCCCTCACAAAAAATTTGAGGGACCATTTTGATCATTTTCTCTATTATGATATTTATAATTTTAAAGAATAATATCCCCTACTTCTATTGAAAATACGAGAAACTAAAAGGTTTATTACTTCTAAAGATTCATTTTGAATGCCTGTCAAGTAAGATTGTAAAAGGCTTCAATTAAATCACTTGGTTGCCTCCCTACCTCCCTACCGGTATCCTAAAAGAAAGAGACATGAACAATAGGGTTTTGTTCCTGAAACTGAATATGAACAGATTTCACGATAAGGTAAAGAGATCATCAGCCTTATCCAAATTATGTGGGGCTCGCTTTAGGTCAAATTAAAAAGCAATTTGTGTTAAAAAAAGGTTTTATTAATTTATAAATGCATAGCTAACCTTTAAAAGTGATCTCCGATACACATAAAGTGGATATCTAATAACATGATATAAGTAGAATTGATGATAGGTTTTTTTCTCAACTAAAAAGTCAACACACATAATAAGAACAGGATAGAATGAATACAAAACTGGTAGTGTTCATCATATTTGGCATCTACTTTATGAATCCTCATTTTTCATTTCTTTTTTCCAAGTGCTACATGAGGATTTAAAGATGGACAATTAATGGAGAATTGATTCATAATTATTATGTTATAGGAGGATCACGAAGATATAAAAGAATATTTTAGAAAATTATAATTAATCAAGCTGTGCTATATGGATATAGCGTTGGTAACCTACAAATCTTAGAAATGAGAGTGTTGAGATGAATTTATGATAAAGAAAAAAAAAAAAAGGAAGGATTACAAATAAATATATTACAGGGATAATTGGAACAATATCTATTAAAAATAGAGAATAGAGAAAATATATCTGAGTGGTTCGGCATGCACAACTAAGGACAAAAGTTGCAACCGTAAAGGCAAGTAGATAGCATATCTATATCAAAGTATTACAAAGGGAAATGGTTAAACCAAAGATAATAGAACTAAAAATTATAAGAAAACAATCTTACACACAATAGTGCTGACATCTTGGATAGCACCAAAGGAAGTGAATGGAGAAGAAAGATTCACAAAACTGACTCCAGCTAACTGAGAAAAAGCTAATGATAGCGTGATGATGATTACTGAGTTCGGTTGCTATAGACCGTGAAATTTAATTGAGATAGTCAATAGAGGAAGGATTGGGAGGAGAAAGAAGTTTTTTTTTTTTTAATAAATTAATTGATAACAAACGTTCTGTAGGAATAAACTAGAATGATCCAAATGCTAAGCAACTTAAAATTATAAATATATTTTATAGTAAAAGGTGCATTGGAGAGTGAAACAAAATGTTACTTCTGGCATAACAAAATTTGGGTCTTTCATAAATACTCACAAATCAGAACCATTACTAATCATTGGCTAATTACTCTTTGTTTTCTATTCATTTCAAAACAATCTGTGAATAATTGTAGCTCTCACACTCCCTTCTAAGAAACTAACATAGTATTTTCTCCTCTTTTGATCATCTTTGCTCCCATCTATCCAATACCCACATTCTCTCACCTCTAATCACATACACCTGCCCTTCTCTCACATCTTTATGGACTAAATAAAAAAGCATTTCAAATCCAAGAATGGAAAAGTTAGCATTGTAATTTTGCAAACCTCCAACCCTCCGTCCTGTTTCTCAATGCCCTCCATATGTGCTTGATTCTATCTTTTTTAGTTTCCTTTTTGAGAAGCTAGCATGAACTGAATGTTATGTTGATAATGACATGAACAACACCATTTTCAACAATGCTTGACCATTTTCATAATATTGGTTGAATCCCACAGATGGAGACGAAGAGATTTAAAACTACTGAATTTTAATACAAACTTTTAACATGAGTCATTAACTCCATCTACCTATTCAATTCATACATTCACTTTTATTTTTTAATGTGTAAATTCAGTGCATTTGAGGCTATGGAGTACAATTATCATTAGGCCCATATCTACCTTCTCTCATGGGTAGGAGCCTATATCCATTTGATTCACATAACTTGTATGACTGAAGAAAATGCCATGACCCCTATTACAGAATTTGTATGAAATTGTTGGATCTCATTTTTGTGCACTCAATCAAGATCGTCCATCTAGAAGTGCAATTATTTGTTAGCACCTACCTGGATCGAGCAAAAAGACCAACCCTAGTTGTCTCCCATCACAAACCATGCAATCGCTAGCAAGCCTCCTCTCTGTTTGCCATTCCCAAAAGACACGCCTCTGGGTAGCCCAGGCTAAGTGGTCTCACACTAACAGTCTTCATAATAACCATGATGGCAAATCCCGAGGCTTTTCATCCTCGACCACCATTCCATTTTTTGCTATGTGTGGCAACTAATGGACATGTCAACCACAAAGTACAATAGTCGAAAATGCAACATTATGACCTTATAAAAGGTGGAGAGTGTTGATTGTAAGAAGGGAAAGAAAAAAAGTGAAAAGAATTCTTTTTGGTGGTTTTGAGCACTGTAGATAGGCAAACTCCACGGAATAACTTAAATATCTTGCCTCTTAACATTATTGTTCTTTTTTTATGGTGCATCTTGAAGCTCCATACTTCCTTCAAGCTTGCCAATGTGGGCTAGACTAAAATACTAAATCATTTGCAATTGTAGCAAATTGAACCCATCCTGAAAGTGTTCCTATACAAGCATGCATAGCTATAGAGTTCTCAAAAAAATTTCACGTGCTAGGCTAAAAGTCACTTCGATATTTAAGAGTTCAATTTCATTCTATTCAAGGGGTTTTACATGCAAAACTTGAGTTTGTCTTGAACTTTACATCTATTACTAGGTTAGTCCCCCTCCGTAACAAATCATCATTGTTGTAGTTCTTTCATTCATTAGCCCACACTTCTTTTGTCACAATAAAAATTGTTATACAAAAAAATTATTATTATTCTGTATGGCATTTTATTCTTTGATAACCATCATTACCTGTCCTTAGCCGGTATGAATCGATTGAGGCTTAATGTTAGATTGGCAACAAATCGTAAAATGTACATCAAAATTGATGAAATTAATCAATCATTGAAGAGATATTAAGCAAAATATTTTCAAGGGGAAATAGATTTTTTGTGACTAAGAAGTTAAGCAACGTTTATATCTGACTATTCCTGCTGCTGAATTTGGTTATCTCTAAAGAAGTCCCCCAAAAAAACCCAATCTTCCAAAAAAGGCCATTGACGGTAAAGTACTCAATTGGAAAAATTAAAAAAAAATGAATATAATTAAATCTCTATGTAACTGTGAAATAGGAACAACTTACTACTCAAATGTCACATTGGATTTTAACAACTAAATGTTTGCTTAAATATGTTATGAATAGCATATAGTAATCCTTATTTACTTCACTAAAACAAGTAAAGTAACAATTGGTAATATTGACACAAAAGGCAATTAGTCCTTGAAACTTACCAGTCAGTTTCAAGAATCTCATTCCGCAATCTGGCAAGTGAAGCTACACTTAACCTTGGAATTATATCATCCTGGGAAATATCAATAAATAAACTAAACATTGCAAATGGAAAAGGAATAAAGCACTTCAAAATTTTTACAGTAAAAAAAAAAAAAAAAAGCTTACTTGCAACACAACAGTAGACACATAGCTAAGACAGCTTTCAGCTAGCTCCTTTGATACACAAGGTGGAGTTCCAAATCCAACCGCAGATATAATATCAGGACTGAACCCAAGTTCCTTGGCAGACTTTCTTCGCAGCATGATAGCAAGCAATGCAGCAGCTGCACCTCCAAGGGAATGTCCAACTAGCCTCAACCTAAAATCCTGTCCAGGAATTTTTTAAGAATGACAAATCTACGAATCAGAATAGGCATGAAAAATACTAATCATTTAATAAGAAAAAGAAATTAAAAACAGTTTTCATCATAAGATGTCGAGATTTACTTTGTGTTTCTCTAAGAGTCTTCTAATGGTTCCCATCTCATAGTGTAGATACCAGCGAGCAGCCTCAGCAGTTCCAAAATGAGTAGAAAAACCATCAAATGACACATTTTGATCACTTGAAGCAACCACATTAGTTATAAGGTCATAGACAGTGTGAGTTCCACGAATTGCAAGTATTACTAATTTATTTCGAGTATCTACCCCAATATAGTATCCAGGGCGTAGTAAACTAGAATCTTTTACAAACTTCAGAATGTTCCTCTCTCGAAGCATGCAGTGTCGTGCAATGCTTGATGTGCTATCTTTATAACATCCCTTAGCCAACTCAAGGTGGTAAATGAGCTCTTGAACCTGGGCAGTAAGGCAAAGTTAGTACATTACTGATATTTTAAATGATGTAGAATGTTGAAAGAAAGAAAGCTGGAAAGTATTTTTAAAGTATAAATGATGAAAATGACTTCAGAAATATGGTACCTAGGTAATAATATCACTTCTCTGTAATAGGAAAAACTGGGAAATTACCATAGACTCAGAATTAATCTGGACACCCTTTAAATCTTCAACCTTCGCAGTTGATGCTTGACTTAGGTGGATAAGGTATAGACCAACTGTAAGGTCACTTAAACTCCATTCTTGAATTCCAGCTTTACTAACTTGAAGATCTGTAAGGATCTCAAAGAGAGATCTTGTACTTGGTGGTATTGCCGGCTTTTCACCAATTCCTGCGCCATAACATCAGCTGTTAAATCAAAGCAAAACGTAAGCTTGAATTATTCGCCCTACACAACTCTTCTTGGCCTATTGGGTGAGAGCTTAGGCTTCCAACTAAGAGGTCTAGGGTTTGAGTCTATATGTATGCGTTGTGTGTGTGAGTTTGCCTTAAATGGCCTAAATGTCCCAAAAAAAAAAAAAAAAGAATTCTTCGCCCTACAGAGCTTTTACTTAGTTTAAGCCTAATATAAGCAAACCGATCTATATATTAGGAAATAAACATTTCCAAAATTTTGATTTTGGCTCATGCCTAGTTCAATTATAAGTAAATATAGAGTTAACCATGAAGAATGCATACAAATTGATAGAAGCTATGCAATCTAAACGCTAGAAAAGCTACTCATATTATAGCCAATTGGATTTCAACCAATAAGATGAACATATGCTGCAGATGGCGTATCAGTAGAGTAAAATGCAATTCATATCGAAAAGTGACAACGAGCTACCCTAAACATCCATGCATCCAAAAGAAACTCTTGAGTAACAATATGACCTGCAGTGGATGCCCACTTGTAAAGCTGCAACGCCGGTTCCAGAGCTTTGGAAAGCCAAGCGAGTTCTACCTTCCACTTTCGCCCAGTCGAATCGTCATCGTCGGAGCCCTCTCTGAGAAGCTCCGACTCGTAACCTGGCTTGAGCAGTCTAGAATTTTGCAGAATGGGATCCTTGGGCGAATCAGCAATCCCTACCTTCTTCTCATCCTCCTCCCCTTGATGCTGTTGCGAGAGGCGCCTATTGAGTAGGCCGTTTATGAGATGCTGATACGAGTGACGTTTGTACTCAAGGCGCAGGAAGGAATCTGGTGAAAAGATGATCTTTTTAGCAAATTATTTGCCAACTAATTGATTGGACAGCATTCCCCATATTCGGAACTTAGAGTGCGACGATAAAGCGAAAGTTATGGAAACTAGGGTATGAATGGATTGCGTGAGCCATTAAAATGAATAACAGCAAATGATTAAGACGGCTAGAGTGGGAAAGTTACTGATACGGAAGAGGAATCGCTTCGCCATCGCGGCCGTCGGTAAAAACAGAAATCAGCTGGCAACATAGGAGCGTTGCCGAACGCTCTAACATGAACCGCTGCTCTGCTGCAGCTGTTAGCTATTCAAGAAACCAAGAGAGATTTATCTCTTTTTCTTTACCAGGCCACCCATTCGGTTTATTTGAATTTAACAGGGTTAGCCCGTTGGATGTGCACCTCGGCTCAGTAGAGGGAGAACTTTTATTACATCCAGTGAACACACGCTCCTCTACGTTCGATTTTAAATCAAAACAGTGCAATACCTACAACTCGGTACTCGGTATTGCGCTTTTTTTGTCTTAATCCGAACGTAGAGGAGCGTACGTTCACTGGATAAAATAAAAGTTCCAGTAGGGATGTAAATTTGGTCAGTAGGGATGTAAATTTCGAATCACGGGTCAGATTTGAGTCGAATTTAAAACTAGTCCGGCACTATTTGGGTCATGCCGAATATAATCCGTTTATGTAAACGGATCAATTTTTCGGATCTAAATCCAACCCACTTGGGGTCTGAGTCAACCTGAAACGACCCGTAAGGAATGACTCGACGAAATCGACGACAAATCCCGCAACTTTGTTCACAGTTGACGACAGCTGATGAGGTGGTACCATGAAGACAGCAGGCGAGGCGGACCGATAACGGAAATGGCTGCATGCAATAAGGCATTGCAGGTCTAGCCCCGTGCAGGTCTGGCCGACTCGCGATCTAGCCGTTTAGGACCTAGGTCTCATGAAACCTAAACTCTTGCGAGATGCAGACGCGATGACAAGCTGACTCGATGACGGCCTTGATGGGTGGATGGCTGAGCACAATGAAGGGCAACCTTTGAAGGAGGCCCACAAATGGTGGACTGGCTCATGAGATGTCGATGCGTGACGGGCTAACGCGGACACGACTTTGAGGGTTATGTGTCAGTCCGAGTCAATTTTGGGCTTGCGGTTTGACCCGGACCCAATCATTTCGAGTCTGGGTTGACCCTAACTTAGAATTTTTGGGTTGAATTCGAGTCAGATTTTCTGATCGTGTCAGATATTGATAACTCTATCCTCCAATATAGCGTATTTGTTGTGGTGCAATATTCATTATTTTCTATCATAGATATCTTTATCATTATTATAAAAAATTATTTATGATTCTTCTTGTATTATAATTTAATCTTTATATGTTTTGATAATTTTACTCTTTATTATAGAATCAATGACCAAAAAAGGCGTCAGCAGACAAGTTATTAAAATAATGAAAAATTATAAAAATTAACTAATACTATCCCGAATTAATTTAATTAAATATATTCAATATATCAAAAAATAAAAACTATCAATCATTAAGGTATTAAATTTAACAGAACTTATTAACATATAAATTATTATTAGTTACGAGATAAAAATGATAATATAACACTTAATTAGTAAAAAAATAAACAGTAGAAAGGCATTTAAAATTAAATTTAGCTTTCAATTATTATTATTTTTAATTAGTGAAACCAACTTCTGTACAGAAAAATCCAAAAATATTATGCAAAAACAAACTGCATTTTTTCAAAATCAAATAAAAATTCTCTCAGTTCTTGGAAAGCACTAAACTCTATAGCGATCCAAAATAAATATGTATTTTCTCAAATCAATAATAACAAAATTGCCACTATGTTCCAAATAATTGACTATAACTTAAAATAACTTACAAGACTGTTAAGTAAATGCATAAAAAACAAAACATCCACCAATCTTTACGTTTATCAAGCTCAAACTCGACTCGTAAGCTCGATAAGCTCGACTCGCGAGCCCATAAAAAAGTCGAACTCGAGTCGGCCTATGAGCCAACTCAGCTCACTTACACCCATAATCTTAAGTGTCATTTGTGATTTTTTTTTATTTCTATTTTTTCTAAAGCAGCCACTGTTGACATCCGCTTTTAGCTAACATTAAAATGATGGAATTTTCGGCGGAGGTCGAAGGTTCGCACAGAGTTAACGGAGTGGTATTTCTTAGGACAGTAATTGAATTTAGGTGGTCTGCATGTAAATAGTAATGTTTAGCTGTTAGATAAGTAATTAGAATAGTTTTAAGTGTTATGTATGTAAAACTTTCTAAAAAAAACTAAAAACTAGTCGCTAGGGGTGCTCGCTGACCAGGTCGGGATTATTATTTTTTTCCATGGTGATATAACTAATAAAGACTATTAAGGAGGCGGTTTAAAACAATTATCTATTATTTTATTGCTTTTTAAAATTATTTATAACAGCTCTAAAAAAATTATTTTATCAACATTATTTTTATGATATCGTAAGGAAGCCTTTCCAAACGGATCTATTTCTCTTAGAAAATATAATTTTCTTAAAGCAAAAACTAAAAGATACGTATGCTGCAGGGGCATAGAAAAAAACGAGTTTATGAATTTCTTATAACGCTTCCTACGTGGACGCTCCATCTGGCGTTCCCGCCATTATCCCTCTCCCGCCAAAAGAACCCTCGACCTAAATTATCCTTAATAGTCGTGCCCTTGTTTAGCTGTCCGCGATTCTACTTGACGTCTCATCTCTTTCTCTTCGCCCTCGTTCTAGGCTTCTAGCTGGTCTGCGGTCGTCTCCGCTTGTTCTTCCCTTGGCGCTAGGTGCATTTTTGTGTTATGTTATTCGTTATTGTTTAAAAAATCCTTCTGTGAAGCCATCTGGTTTTTCTGAAGACATGGAGAAGAAGAAGATACTGCTGAACTCCCCGCTTTGGCGTAAGGCTTCATCGGCTAATGTATCGGCGTCAGATGAGATCCCCACGCCGGAGAAGCCGGCCCAACAGCTTCGGCGGGCCGGCAAACGGAAGCTGTCCTTCTCAGTATGTGATGTACGTAAGGTCGCCATGGGATTGCGGATGACCCGAAACACATCCACCAATCCATCGGATCTGGATCTTCCCAGATCCGATGGAGAGCTGCAGCGGAAATCTAAATCGTCTTCTGCTTCCGCCGCCATGTTATCAGCTGCCAGAAAGACAACGAAGCTTTCAGAAAAGTGGGTTTTTGAGTTCTTGCTCGTTCTTTGTAAAGATAATCTGAATCTTGAATTTTTTATTTTGTTTAACTTTGCAAAGTTTAAACTCAAGTTGAAATTAGGTATTTAATTTTTCTCGACTTTGTTTATGCTCCAATTATTATAGATTTATGATCACTTCTGGAATGATGAAGGGATCGGATCAATCCGGTGAAAAAGCTATTCGATTTTTCATTTTTTGTCTTCTATTATTTAGCTGTCAATATGTTTTTCTTTTCCTTGATTGTTGAAAAAGAAAGAAAACTAGTTTATAAAGGATTTGAGGTTTCTGGTCTGTTATTTGATGGGTATTCAAATGTTAGAGAGGAGTTTTAACATCGGCGTCAAAATTTTTAGATTGATATCACCGCACCCTTTTATTCTTAAAATTAGGGTCTATGATCAATCAGTTGATAAATATCAAGAGCTATACATTATGTGAATTCTCGTGCATTTGTTGTGCTCTATCATTGTTGAAAGATTTTCATCATATTTTTGTTTCATTGTATTTGTAGCTTAATATTTTCTTCAAATATTTGTTCCTGAACATGGCCCTTGTTTATATGCAGTTATGAGATGTTGGCAGAGTTCTTCAATTGTTTGGACAGTTCAGTCCGATTACTTAGGCTGAAAGGAGCGTCGTCCACATTTACAAGCATTAGTGCTAGCATACAACATTTAACAGAGAGGTACTTATTTCTATCTATTTTGATATTATTGTAATTTCTTTTCTTGTTAGCTGGGTTATAGGTACTAACTTGATTTGGATTACCTTTGAAGTTAAGGGCTGCAAATTAATCTGCTTATCTATGCATGTAATGGCTATTTCAGGAGATTTACTTATAGGCATTTAGCACAAATGAAACATATATTACCTGAAGCAATTTCAATTAAAAAAGTGCTTTTGCGTGATGAGGCCACTTGTTGCATGAAGCCAGAACTTCAAGTTTCTTTGCAAGTGGATGCAGTGGAAAGGAACCCGGAACTAAAAGGGGAGAGTCCATATTCAGCCTTAAGAAAGGTTTTCAGAGATAGGCTTGTCCAATTTGCTAGAGAACATCCAGAGGTAGTGTTCTATGAATTTATTTGGTTTCCTTTCTTATTTTCTGGTGTGAGTTTCCATTTTCTGATTATTCATTGAGGAGAGCTTTTTTACCTCGTTTTCAGGAAGATGACATTCCAGAAGAAACACTGCCACATCCTTTTGGTCGTACAAACCCAAGCATGCTGACAGAATTCAATAAATTAGCTCCTTCCATTCGAACTAGATCATTGTCTGTAGCCCATCCAGCAGAAAATTTAACTAAAGTTTCACACTTCTCTGCATCTTTCCAGAGGAGGTTTTCTACAAGAACTCCATGTTCTGATGAAATGAAAACTCCTCTTACTTCCGTCAATGATGTTGCCACTAATGTTGATTCACTAGCCTCTAGTTTCCCATCCCCTGTTAAATTTTCTTCAAAGCCTTCCATCAGCAAGAAACCACTGTTTTCTTCTCCCGGTAAAAGACCTTTGGTGATTCATGATCAACAAATTGAAGAGGATTCAAAAGTGTTGATTAGTGCCCACAACAGCATTTCAAGTGAAGTAAAATCTATAGAATCCACTCCAATCAAGGACATTTTATCTTCTGCTAGGCTAATGATCACTACGCCAGATCTTCAGACCCCAAAGAGAAGTCGCATACCATCAATTGATGATACTCCACAAAAGGCACTTGTGAAACGGGAAACTCGGACCAAATTATTTCCAACTCCAAGGAAGAATGTGAAATCAGACGGTGAAGATAACTTGTCTGAAAGTTCACCAGTAGAAGATGATGTGCTTGGTTTTCTTCCAGAGTCACTTCTACAAGATGTAAGTTGGTTTAATCGTTTTAATAAATTTAGGAATTATCTCAGTAGCAACAAAGTTCGTATGCAGTATTGGTTCATTGACCCGAGATAACATTTTCTGTCTATAGATAAGGGACAAGGAAAAGAAAGCGATGGAGGAAAGGGATGCCAATGTAGCTGGGGCAAGGCTACGGAAAAAGATGATTGCAAGTTTGCCTAAACTTTTTGATTCAATACTCCTGATATTTCAATCTGGGAATAGATCTGTAATTACAAAGCAAGAGCTTATTCACAAGATTCTTTCGTGTAACTGCAGTGTAATTGATAGAAGTAAGAATTAAGTTAGAATGTCTTTTTGTTCTTTGAAACATGACCCCTTAAACCTTTAAGGATATATAGTAATTTTTTTTTTGGTGTTCCAGATGAAGTTGAAGAACAGTTGGAGTTAATGGAAGAATTGGCGCCAGATTGGATATTTCGAAAGGCGGCAGCTACAGGGGACATCCTCTACCGGTGAGTTTGTTAGATCTTTCTTTTTTCTGCTATAATGTAATGATTTTTAAAACTTAGATCAATATAACTAGGATTGGTTATTAACTTCATTGAGCGCTCACACGATTTGTTTAAGTTAGAAAATATGATTTGAAACAAAGTGGGATTTGTTAGATCCATTATTTTGTTAGACTTGTTTATAAATTAAGATTCATATGCAAGCAAACAACCAAAAGAAGCCTGAAATAAGTTTCCAAAATATGCAATTTAAGTGCATTTTTTACAACAATAAATAAGTTCGCTATGCTTTTGTAAGTTGAAATTCAGAAGTGACATCTATGGCTGTTCTGACTCATTATGTTTATATTCAGTGTGAATAAAATGTCAAGCTCCCAGGAGATTCGGCAGAGGCTTGCAGTAGCCGTGTGAAAGAATGCCTCAGTGACAATTTTACTGATTCAAAGTGCTTAATCCATTGTTGAGGTTGGCTTGCTAGCTTGGAATGGTGTGCCTGAAATCTTTCTGCTGTTACCACCGGTGGTTGCAACCAAGCACAACGCTCTTGCTTCTATTTAACAAACCAGATGGAACATTGTATCTTTATGCGGCAAAAGCTATAGAGAAACTGAGAAAGTTGTCTCTCAAGAAGTATGTGTCAGAATGTAGGCCTTACACAAGCCTTGTGTCTTGTACAATGTTTTTATCAATGTAGTCTATCCCTGCCCCTTGGTTGGAGGAATTTTTATTATGTGCGGAGTTCGGATGTCGTCCAGAGACCAATAAAAATGCGCCACATCATCCCAAAAATGTACTGTGCTTGGTACCAAGCACAATACTAAGGCTCGGTACCAAGCGCGGACCGGACGGGAGAACCGTCCGGTGTTTGTACTTCAGGGACCTCCAAGCAAAGTTGCATACCAATGTTTGCGTTTTGACATTTGATTTTTCCAGAAAAAAGGTAATTTTACTTTGAAGATTTCTCCAGTTAGTAAAAATCTTTGATATTTATTCTTTCCCTACAGGCAATTGGATGTTAAAATTACATGTTTTGTTCAGGATGACATGTATAGTTAAACCGTTTGACCTCAAAGGTGGGCAAGTTTGGTTCACCTGAAAAAAGAACTAGAATGATTTACACTTTATTTATTTTATTTTGCATTCTTTTTTCATCCAATCAAATACCAAAATTATTAAAACCCCTGAATTTGAAATACCTTACAATCATTTGGAATCCAACCAAACAACCCCTAAGTATTTTCTATAGGTTCATTGATCTATAGCAATTATCAAGTTGATCAAAACATGTAGTATTTGCCATTAAGATATAGATATAGAGCTGAAATGATATTAATATTTAAGTGGATATGTCATCATGATAAATACTCAAGTTTATGTCTCTTAGTGTTCCTAAGATATTTTTAGATTTAATATAATGATTGAGTGATAGAAATGAGAAACGAAGGAGACGGGCAAGAAGTGGAAACAGAGCAAGCAGGAGAAAAGAAAAATATTATTGATCAAAATGTTAATGTGTACAGAATGTTATATATAAAGAATAAAGGGGTGAACTGGTAATAAACTAAAAGTATAATATTTGTACATTTACATCTCCCCTCAAATTAATCATTCTTTGAACGAATGATTAATTTGCGACGAAGGGTATCAAAGCGAACAGCGGAGAAAGATTTAGTGAGAATGTCGGCAATTTGTTGTTCCGACGGTATATGAGTGAGGGAAATAGCTCCGGTCTTGAGGTGCTGACGGATGAACTGGTAGTCGATTTCAATGTGCTTGGTCCTGGCGTGGAAGACGGGGTTCCGAGCAAGAGCAATCGCTGATGTGTTGTCGCAGTGAATTATGGTAGGAGAAGGCTGCGAAATATCGAGCTCCACGAGAAGACGACGTAACCAAATAACGTCGGAGGTAGCAGCCGAGAGTGCCCGATATTCGGCCTCGGTAGAGGACTTTGCGACCGTTACTTGTTTCTTGACGGACCAAGATATGAGGTTTGGTCCTAAGAAAGAGCAGAACCCGGAAATTGATTTCCGGTCGGAAGAGTCGGACGCCCAATCGGCGTCAGTATATGTCCGTAAGGTGAGATCCCCTGTGGTGAGCGGAAGTCCAAATGAGAGGGTACCTTTGACATATCTGAGTAGTCGTTTGAGAGCCTGAAAGTGTTGAATGGTCGGTTGGTGCATATGTTGGCAAACTTGGTTCGTGGCAAAGGCAATGTCCGGCCTATTGATGGATAGATATTGTAGAGAACCAGCTAGTCGTCGGTACAAGGTCGGATCGTGAAACGGCTGGCTGGGTGAAGCTGTATGTCTTGATTTGGGAGATATCGGTGTGGTTGCAGGTTTGCAGTCGGTGAGGCCTGCATCTTTGAGCAGTCGTTCGGCGTAATGTTGATGTGAGAGAAAGAGACCGAATGGCTGCTGGAGTATTTGAATTCCTAGAAACAGCGAGAGCTGGCTGGACTGTTTGAGAGAAAACTGAGAGTGCAGTTTGGAGAGTAGAGCAGTAATAGCCGCCGAGTTATTTCCTGTAATTAAGATGTCGTCGACGTAGATTAAGAAGAAAATGTGTATATGATTCATTTGATAAGATAAAAGAGATGGATCGGAGCGAGTAAACCTGAATCCTTGTGTTTGTAGGAATGAAGTAAGTTTTTCAAACCATTGCCTCGGTGCTTGCTTGAGACCGTAGAGAGATTTACGTAGTTTGCAGACCGAGGAAGGTGAAGCAGCATCGATGAAACCCGGGGGCTGTCGCATGTAGATGTCTTCGGTAAGATCGCCATGGAGGAATGCATTCGAGACGTCTAGTTGGATTAATTGCCACTGTCAGTTGACGGCCAGAGTAAGGAGGATGCGAATTGTGGTCATTTTTGCGACGGGGCTGAACGTCTCGTTGTAGTTAATACCGTATTGCTGATCATAGCCTTGTGCGACAAGTCTTGCTTTATATTTGTCGACGGATCCGTTGGGAAGAAGTTTGGTTTTGAATGTCCATTTGCACCCAAGAATGGGTGTATTGGCCGGTGGTTGAACGAGTGTCCAAGTAGCCTGTTTCTGAAGTGCGTGAAACTCGTCGGACATTGCTTGACGCCAGTGGGATTGCTTGACGGCCTGAGCATAGGTATTCGGGGTAGAATTATGAGGTGTGGTGGTTAGTAGAGACATGATTTGCTTTGGTTTGGAAATTCCATAGTTTAGCCTTGTTTGCATGGGATGGGAAGGTTGGGCCGTGGTGTTCTGAATGGGGAGTAAGGGAATAGCTGAATTATGAGATGGAGCCTCTGTATTTTGTGAGGAAGAGTGAACAGACTGGTTGCTGGAGTGAGAAGATGTAGTTGGGAAAATCGTAGGTGATGTCATTTGTTTGGTAATGAGAGACGGCGGGACAAGCAGAGAGGGAGGTGTGTGGTGAACAGATGGTGAGGGAGTCGGATTTTGAACGTTTCGGAGAGTTTTGTAGGGAAAATTGGTTTCATTAAATGTGACATGGCGGGAGATATAAATCCTATTGGAACGGATGTCCAGACACTTGTAGCCCTTGTGAAAGGGGGAATACCCAATGAATATGCATTCTTGGGAACGCGGCGAAAGTTTGGTAGCGGCGTAGGGTCGTAGCCACGGAAAACACTGGCACCCAAAGGTGCGAAGGTGGGTGTAAGTCGGGGAATAGCCGTGAAGACGATGGAAGGGAATTTAATTGTTGATGGAAGCTGAGGGTAGCCGGTTAACTAAATAGTTGGCCGTTGAGATGGCTTCGGCCCACAGAGTATCGGGTAAATGTGCAGCGTGTAACAATGTGCGAGCAAGATCCAATAGATGGCGGTGCTTTCGTTCTGCAATCCCATTCTGTTCCGGTGTGTGAGGACAGCTGAGTTGTCTTTGGATGCCGTGTTGCTGTAGAAATGCCGAGAACTCATGGCTTGTAAACTCACCGCCTCCGTCTGATCGAAAAGCCTTCGGAGTGGTATGGAACTGAGTTTGTACGTGTTGCTGGAATAGTTTGAATTTGGAAAAGGTTTCCTGTTTCGTTTTCATAAGATACATCCACGAAAAACGTGTAAAATCGTCTATAAAGATTACATAATAACGAAAACCTTATGAAGAGTAAACTGGGGCAGGACCCCAGACGTCAGAGTGTATTAGATCGAAAGCGGCAGAAGAAATGGAAACATTTTTATTAAACGAAAATTTGTGACATTTGGCCACAGTACAAGAATTGCAGAAAAAATTATTAGAAATTTTGGTGAGATCGGGAATTAAAGAAACAAGTTCTTTAAGTAGCCGGTGATGCGGGTGGCCTAAGCGACCGTGCCATAGCGTCTCTGGATTCTTGCGGGCATGGAGAGCCGTGGGCGTAGCTTTGGCTGAGGGATGAAGTTGGTACAAGCCATTAAGAAGAGGTCCATGAAGAAGAAGACGGCGGTCCTTGTGATCCTTAATTTTGAATCCATTAGCATTAAAACTCACAGAAACCGGATTATTAGTGGTTAATTTAGAGACGGATAACAAATTATGAGAAATATGTGGAACGTGTAAAAGATTACGTAAATGCAGCTTACGGGGAGTGTCGGGTAGCGGAAGAAGTCCCTGGCCGGAGTGAGCGACCGGAATTTGCGACCCGTTAGCGATAGAAACTCCGTCTGAACCGTTATATGGTGTCTGATATTGTAAATTGTTCAAGTCGGGAGTGAGATGGTTGGAGGCGCCCGAATCAATGATCCAATCTTGGGAGGTAGACGAAGTAGGTTGGGCAAGCATAGCTGAAATGGATCGTGGATTGGTCGGAACAAACCTTGGGTTCGAGCGGTGCCAGCATTTAAGTGCTATGTGACCGACTTTATTACAAATATGACAGATAGGCCGAGTGATGTTCGGAGAGGCATTGCTTTGCACATTCGAAGTGGCACTGGGTTGAGGCGGAGCATTTCCCGTGTTGATCGTGCGGTTCTTGTTGAATCTGCGCGGAGGACGATTGCGGGACTGATTTGAAGACATAGCATGGAGAGCTGTAGCGTCGGACACCGTTGAATTTTCTCTGGATAATTCTTGATGAACATTAATCTCTTCGCTGCAAAGAAGAGAATAAAGATTATCAAGATCCATAGGGAGCGGGGAGGTGTGGATGGCGGCTTTGAACGAAGTGTATGTGGACGGAAGGCCGTTGAGGATGTGCAGAATGACATCCTCTGTGTCGACATGAGATCCGGATGCCGCAATGTTGTTGACAATGGATTTGACGTGGTTGAGATACTGCTGCATGGTCAAGTTTTGCATTTGGACATGGTGAAGCTCGTTCTTGAGCTGAATTACGCGCGATCGACAGGTAGGTTGAAGGCGTCTTTCAAGAACGAGCCATACGTCGTGAGCTGTAGTGCAAGAAATGACGTAGGGAAGTATAGGTGGAGAAATTGTCGAAAAGAGGGCGGAGAGGAGGTTGTTGTCGGCTAAATGCCAACGTTGGTACTCCGGAGAAGAAGCGTCGGACGGGCAGGTAATGGTGCCGGTGAGATGTCCTGCATAGCCGTTGGCCGTGAATTGTTGGAGAAGTTGAATGCGTCAAATCGCATAATTCTCGGTGGTGAGAGCATTGGGGACGAGGTTCTTGATATTGGAGATGAGAAATTTGAGTTGTGGAGGGATGTGAATCTCTGTATTGTTGCCGGAGAGGGCGGCGGAGGAGGGAGGGTGGGAATTCGCCGATTCTTGATCTCCCATTGTTTGGCTCATGATACCATGATAGAAATGAGAAACGAAGGAGACGGGCAAGAAGTGGAAACAGAGCAAGCAGGAGAAAAGAAAATATTATTGATCAAAATGTTAATGTGTACAGAATGCTATATATAAAGAATACAGGGGTGAACTGGTAATAAACTAAAAGTATAATATTTGTACGTTTACATTGAGTGCATCAAAATAATGCATATAAACTTTAAAATGGTTAAATATATCAAAATAATCCTTTTATGATTATTAGAAAGTCAATTGCACAAATCAGCATAATAACTCCTTTTTTACTCAAACAATAATATCATTTTAAGCATTAAAAAATTTGTCAAATTTTGTTTTTATTCACTAAATTGTAAATATTATTTGAATATTGCGTGTAAAACTGTTGCAAAAATCAGATTTTAATTTGAACTTGCATTTCATCGAGTTTTTATTACAAATTTCGTTTAAAAAATCATAACTATTTATATGGAAGATTGAGTTGTATGTTATTGCTGTTCTTGACTTTGAGCAAAATCAGGACACATCATCTTAAGACCTTAATAAAAAATCCAATTCCTTGATTTGCAGAATATATAACTGGTTTTATCGATAATTGCAACCATCCTAAGTCTTTCAAGCTACCTTTTCAAATTTTCTTATTGGGAGCAAACAACTCATTTTATCGCAAATTATTCAACCAAGTGAAATTAATGCAAATTTTCATTTTCAAACTCCAAATTCAAAATTTGCATTTTCTTTAAATCATTTCAAAGAAAATGGTATTCATATTTTTGTTTGTGAAAATTTCAAAGCTATGTATTTTAAGAAGTCCCAAACCCAAACGGAGATGAGGATGCTTAAGTGGATGAGTGGTTTCACTCTTATAGATAGAATGCAAAATGAATATATGCATTAAAGGTTGGAGCGGCACTAGTGGCAAATAAGATTTTAAAGACTTGCCTTAGATGGTTTGTTCATATAGAATGTTGGCCTTCCGGTGACCCGTTTAGGAGACTAAATGTATTAAATCTGTACAATGTTAAGAAAGGTAGAGGTAGACCTAAAAAGACTTTGATAAAAAATAATAGAAATGACTTTTTTTATTAGATTTAAATGAGAATTTGAATTTTAATATGACAGAATGAAGATAAATGATACATGTAGTAGACCGCACATAGTGGGATAAGTGCTTGATGTTGCTATTGTTGTTGTTGTTGTCAAATGACATGATAGCACTTAGTAAAATAAAGCATTGAAAAAGCCTCCCAAATGAATACTGAAAAAAGGGGGGATTTATACTCATTGCACACAAAATTTAATAATTTACATGTTTAATATCTAATTCATCATTTACTCACATAACACTTAAAATTCAAATATAAAAAAATTACTTATTCCATGAAATTTTCAAATAATAATAATAATAAACTTATGATAACATTATAATTTTAAAATGGTTGAATATGATTATTTTTTGTTAGTTAAAGGTCGAGAAATATCATATTTATCTTAAGTAATAATATAGATAAAACTGCAGCGCATCAAAATCTCTCAAGAGATGGAATAATTTGCAGAATAATAGGGAAAATTCCCACTACAGCCGCGAGGGGATCGTCGTTCTTGAACAAATCCACGCCTTTTTTATGAATTCAAAAGAGAATGGAGAATTTAGGAGGTGAAGAACAACGATGTGCGGTTGTGGCCACAAATCGACTCCAAAATTAGGAGAATATTCCTTCAATAGACGCCCACTTATACCGACCTTTCCATTTAAACGCCCCGACATCCTCCTTTCCTTCCAATCCTCTCGAAAATCCTCACGTTTTCCCCCGCTCTGCCTTGCCCTTCCCTTTCTTCTCCGGCGAAAGAAAAGGTAACCCAGCATCCCCACTGCATCATGAAGGAGTTCAAAGCATTAGATTTGTGTTGGAATCAATGATCAAAAATATTAATTTGAATAGAAATTGAACAAGTTTAAAGCCCGCCTTAATTTTTCCTCCGTTGCGTTCCGATTTTCTAATTTTGCCTATCTTGAAACAGCTCAGAAGGCACAAAGCAGAGGAAGCAAGTCCAGGGAAGAAGACAGAGAGGGGTTGAAAGATCTCATTGTTACTCTCGGATACAATGGCCAAGGAACAGCTTGAGGTACTCAACGCCCTCGATGTCGCCAAGACACAATGGTACCACTTCACGGCGATCGTCATCGCCGGAATGGGTTTCTTCACCGATGCTTATGACCTCTTCTGCATCTCTCTGGTCACAAAATTGCTCGGCCGCATCTATTACCACGTCGACGGGTCCCCGACCCCTGGCTCCCTCCCTCCCCAAGTTTCCGCTGCTGTCAACGGCGTCGCCTTCTGCGGCACTCTCAGCGGCCAACTCTTCTTCGGTTGGCTCGGCGATAAGTTGGGCCGCAAAAAGGTTTATGGCATGACCCTCATGCTCATGGTTATCTGCTCCGTATTCTCCGGCCTCTCCTTCGGCCATACCTCTAAAGGCGTCATGGCTACCCTCTGTTTCTTCCGCTTCTGGCTCGGCTTCGGCATTGGCGGAGACTATCCTCTTTCCGCCACCATCATGTCCGAATACGCAAATAAGAAAACCCGCGGAGCTTTCATTGCCGCCGTGTTCGCGATGCAGGGGTTTGGCATTTTGGCCGGCGGTATGGTTGCCATCGCTGTCTCCGCCGCTTTTAAAAATCACTTCCCTGCACCTGCCTATGCCGTCGACCCTATTGCCTCCACAGTCCCGGAGGCGGATTATGTCTGGCGCATAATCGTCATGGTCGGTTCTGTCCCCGCCGCGCTCACCTATTACTGGCGAATGAAGATGCCGGAGACAGCGCGCTACACCGCCCTTATCGCCAAGAACGCCAAGCAGGCAGCTTCTGACATGTCTAAGGTCCTCCAGGTGGAGATCGAGGAAGAGCCGGACAAGATCGTGCGAATCATTCGAAACGAAGCTAACAGCTTCGGGCTATTTTCGAAAGAGTTCATCCGCCGTCATGGCCTCCACCTCGTCGGTACCACGACCACATGGTTTCTCCTTGACATCGCTTTCTACAGCCAGAATCTCTTTCAAAAAGACATTTTTAGCGCGATTGGGTGGATCCCAAAGGGGGCAACCATGAATGCACTCGAGGAGGTCTTCCGCATCGCGCGTGCGCAGACCCTCATCGCCCTCTGCGGCACCGTACCTGGCTATTGGCTCACCGTCGCGTTAATCGACTTCATCGGGCGTTTCACAATTCAAATGTTGGGTTTTGCGATGATGACTCTGTTCATGCTGGGCCTAGCCATTCCCTACACTTACTGGACGACACCAGGCCATCACATTGGTTTCATTATAATGTATGGATTCACATTTTTCTTTGCCAATTTTGGGCCTAACAGCACTACCTTTATCGTTCCGGCAGAGATTTTTCCGGCGAGGCTGAGGTCAACCTGTCATGGGATATCAGCGGCGAGCGGCAAGCTGGGCGCGATCATTGGCTCATTTGGCTTTCTTTATCTTGCGCAGAATCCCGATCCGGCGCGGGCTGACCACGGTTATCCTCCTGGTATTGGTGTTAGGAATTCGCTCTTCCTGCTCGCAGGCTGCAATCTTGTCGGTATGTTATTAACGTTTTTGGTGCCGGAATCCAAGGGGAAATCGCTTGAGGAAATTTCAGGCGAGAACGATGAAGAAGTTTAAGGAAGATGAAATTGGCACTTCGTGGATTCCCTTCCCTTTGAGTCGATCGCTCGTTGGTTTAAGCCATATCGTGCGAGGATTACGTTCGCTAGGGATCCACGGGACGTTCTCGGAACCTCTAATGAAGTTTTATAGGATTGTGGGTTTTTTTAGTGGTACCTGCTTCTTTTATTTATTATTATTTTTTTCTATGCATGTTTTATGCAAGCGTAAGCTGAAATTTTTAAAAAGATTAAGTATTTAATATAAATATACATGTAGAATTTAAAGTGGTTGGTATATGAGATTCAATTTTAATAATTTCCAACTATTATTGCATGTTAAAAATTCACAACAATAGAGAGTTTACGTCCATACTTTGAATGAAGAATCAATAAAAGGTTTGCAATATATATTAGAGTTTTAAACTTTTAATATGAAAAATTGGGAAATGAAAAAAATATTGGTCTAATCCAATTGAGATGGTTTCACTAGCGTTTATTAATGGTCATAAATAATGTCCTCTCCTGTGATTGAGGAATGTATTGATACAATATCATATAAATGAGTCATACAAAACAAATTTTGTGATAGAAATTCAAAGAGCCCTATAATGTATGAGTTGTTTTTAAAATGCCATTTGTTGTGTATTTGATTGTTCTCCTTGAAAGAAAGGGGGTTAGATATTCATAAGTCAGGCATAAATGTTAATGCAAATGTTAGGAGTTAAGAGTGTCGACGGCGTGCATCAACCTTACAAGCCATGAAGTGTGCGTCGACATTGTTGGCGTTAGTGGGAGATGACATGAGTGGCCGTCAATGTAGTTAGGATGATAATTTTTCATAGATCATAGTTGGGTATTGGTTGTTGGAGGCTTGTACTCGAGCAATTTAGTCGGAGGATCGTGGTCAAGACATCAGAGCTAGGTGATATTGGTTAGAGGATTGTAATCAGGCAACAATAGTTGAAGAATTATCTTGATTATAGTTAAGTGATGGTGGTCGTAAGATCTTAGTTAGATGATGATGATGAGAATAGTAAAAAGATCATAATCAGATGATGCTGGCCAAGACAGTTGGATGACTATAGCTGGATAATAGTGGTCATAAGATAGTGCCAACCAAAGTAGTCAAAGGAATGTAAAAGGGGGATTGTGGTTAGGGAATTAAAATAAGGAAACAATGGTTGAAGGATTGTATCAAGAAAAAATTATCGGTAAGCTGTAGTCAGGCGATGATTGTTAAAAAGCCTAGTCGTAGGATGGTGGCTATATATTTGCAATCAGGTGACGGCGGTTGTATGACCATTATCATGAAACAATTGTTATATGACCTTATTTGGGGGATTGTTGTCGAATGGTCATAAAAGAATGATGGTGGCTGGAGAGTCTGTGACGCCCCAGGCATCCATAGTGAAAGGATTCGTCGACAGTCTTGATCAATCTCCAATCTTACTCCCTGCCCTGACCTGAAAATATCAACCACATATAATGAGCTTAAATAGCCCAGCAGGTCACCAAAGCCTACTACTGAAATCAAAGCACAACGATGCTATCAATATGCATGTCAGTCAATCAAATCCATAACAGTCAATGGTCAATGAGTCTATGCAATACGAAAATTCATAGTCAATAGAACCAGTCAATGCAGCAGCAGGCAAATCGATAAATCAAGCTCAATCAATACACGTCAATCTCGAAGAAATCCGTACACAGAAGAAAATCAATCAATCCGTCAAATCAGTCGTGTCGAATCAATCAATCAAATCAAATACA